CTATATACAACACGGAATTGCTTACTAATATAGAGTCTCTTAAAAGTGAGTCAACACAACCCAACCAACTCCTACCCCTTCCCACCCAATCACCCGACCACTCTGCACGCGCACTGCGCACATGCATGCATGCCCCCTGCACATGATGTAAACGCACAGACGCATTTTACTATATTGTAGCCATCCGGTTTTGAACTGCTTTGCGATGCGGGCTGGAGATTTCGATCTCGGGAGGGTTGTGGGGGGGGGGATGTTTGGGGCAGGGGGGGTTTGCCGGCGGGAAAGGAGGTGGGGCAGGTGTGGGTCGGGGTTGTGGAATATTCTTACTGTGTCCTCCTATGTGCCAGTGTTGTACGGGTGCAATAGAATGTGTTGGAAATGCCATGTGATAGGTTGGTAGGTAGGGTACGATAGGAGTGAGTCAGGTGGAGGGAGGGAAGGGGAGAGAAGATGGGGGAACGTGTGAGAGGGAATGGATTCGTTTGTGGAATATTCGAGGCGTGGGTTATTCACGACTGTGCAACAAGTTGGTGATGATGGGTATTTTTATTTTGCTACCCTAGGTCAGACCTGCTGCCTGTCTGCGTTCCTGTGGCAGAAGGGAAAGGAGAGTATCATGGCTCTCGTCTCCCATTCTCTGAACCGAATTCAAAACGAATCCCCTGTATCCTCCTCGGTGGCTTCTTCCGATCTCTGTTCGTGTGGTAATTGGTCCATTCCCCAATCTCTCCTTCATCCCCCCATGTTCCTCTTCCGCCGTTACTGTGAAGATGCCCAATGGCCATGTTCTGCCATCTCCGTCCCGTGTGTTTTCAACCCGCTGATGGCATGACTCCAGTGGCCAGCGTTGAAGGTGATGGCCCAAGTCGGTCGGTGTGTTGTGATTTGGATCCAGCGTAGTAGTCGGTGATGTGTGACGTGGCTGTAATAGGATGTGTGTGTGTGTGTGTGTGTGTGTGTGTGTGTGTGTATAGGTGCTCGTGTAGTTTGGCAAGAGATAGCGTAGGCCTAGAGGGCTCAGCCAGCGCTGTAGCCCGTCATCTTGGCACAATGACTGCAATAGTAACGGTTGGTGCCAATCTGGAACATGTTGCCATAGCCTTCGCGACGGCAGCGGCAACAGCACGGCTGGCAGGACAGCATGCCGTGGCTGGAGATGGACGAGTTGGAACTGGTGGACGAGGTGCTGGAGGCTCGTTGCTGCAGTGGCTCGGCCGAGGGACGGTGGGCAGCCTGGGTCTGGAGTTGCAGGAGACGCGAGGCGTCCGGAGGGCTCGACATGTACGAGAAGGGGGAGGGTCGAAAGGCCAGCAGAGGGTTGCAAGGGTCCGAGGGTGTGTAGGATTGGTAGTCAGACGTCGGCGTGGCCAGAGGTGTTTCCAGCGAGAAGTGGACGGCAGGAGGGATACTGAAGTAGCAGACAGGCTCAGGATGCGACGGGTCTGGTGTGTAGAGATCTGCGGTCATGGTATTCTGCAGGCAGGTTTATGGGGATACAACAGTCGTAAGGATGACCAGGTGAATGGCAATCATGGCATGGCATGTGGGATCGCAATGACTATATGCTTGGGGGGGGGGAGGAGACGATCGAGCGATGCACAAGGGCACAGTGGCGGGTACGAGGCCCGGTGTGGCAGGCCAGCGCTGATTGGGCAGGGGGGGCAGAGGGGCTGTGGATTGCGACGCTTCGTGAGCACCTGCCCAAGCGGCTGGGATCAAAGAGGCAGATTTTCCTAGGCGGGGGGCGCGCATGCTTTCTGGGGCCTGGTGGTCAAAGGGCGTCAAGTTTCCTGAACGAGGCAAAGCTGTTGCGGTAGCCGGTCTTCGATTCACTCGGTCATTCTAGATCGGAGCGACTCTTGCAAGGAACTGGTTTCTTGTGCTGCAACGGTAGTGACTGGGTAGCCACGGGGGTAGCCACTGGGTAGCCACCAATCGGGCTGCCCCACGCCTAGAGACACAATCGCGATCTGGCGCAAACGGTGGCCACTAGGTAAACAAGTACTGATACTCCTACTAGAGTAGAGTAGTCCACCATCTTCAAGTCTTCCAGAGTACCTACTAGAGTAGAGTACTAGCTTGAACGCAACGCTTTCTTCACACCATGAACCTGCCTTTGCTCGCCGGACTCATCTGCTTGCCGGTGCTTCCTGCTTCCCTCATTGGCCGTCCAGCTGCGAATCCGAACACACCCGCGCCCACTTCACGCTTTTCGACTCACCTCCCTCCGCCCTCACACACGCTCGGTTGCTGTGGACAGGGAGGGTATGTAGAGCGCGGTAGGGCGGCCATGCAAGGTTTGGCTGCTGCCGCTGCATACAGCACAGGCGCAGCACAGCCTCTTGGGCATCCCCCTGACCTGGGCAACGCGCTGCTGGCTTGCGCAACATCTTACCCAGAAGTGGCTTGGACAGCTCACAACTCAGTACTCAGCTGCTGCTGCTGCTGCTGCTCACGGCCCGGACGCGGCCACCTGCATCGCCAACACCCTTCTTTTTAGGCAGCAATCCTATCACAGGTACCCAACTGGCCCCCGGCCTCATTCTCTACAACCGACAAAGGACAAGGTTGGCCTTGCTCTATTTGCGACAGTTGGCAACTTTGTCCTTCTGAAACTTACTCTATGACTCCTCCAGCTTTCTTCGCTCTCTTTGCGGGACGGTCCGTTAGGTGAGGCCTGGTGCTTGCCCATGAACCCTACACGCCCACCAACCGAACCGGTCCTTTGCGACCAAAACAGTACCATTATGCGTTACCGACCATCATCCCTCACACGCGTTTTCATAGCAAAGCCCAACGACATGCTTAGAAATGAGAATACCTAGGTGATGGTCTGCTCATCTGCTTTTCTGCATGCCTGCACCCGACAGTGAGGCGAGCCTGAGGCCAGAATCCCCCCTCTTGCTCATTCGAGAGTAGCAACGCCATGGCTTTGGAAAGCAAAGTAGCTTTTGTGGCTCATCTAGATTCCTCACCGACAAACTCCAGACTCCCAGAGTGTACATGGTACCTGGACTGACACTTTCGGTCCATCGCACCTACTACGAGATATCATATGATCTCCTAGGAGTACTTCCCTGTCCGTGAAATTGCTTGTTGGGGCAAGGGACCACACGGTCTAGGCCATGAAGCATCGTGTGACAAACACCACAGAACCACACCAAATCTGCCCTTGATGCTGGATTTCCACGCTCCATATTGGGGGAAGGACGCGCTGTATGGCCGCCAAATTTCATTGGGCCTATCGCTGCTCTGCAAGAAAGTTTGATGCAACTGCTGATCGGTTGAAGTGGTTCGGTGCTCGCCCGATCCAGCCATGTACAAGTACATGTGATGGGCCCTGATCAACAGGTACAGGCGACACAGTCCATAGGGCCACGGCGCCACCCACCATTGTAACTGTTGTACCGGTACAATGCGTACTGTTACCCCAGCGACTTCAACGGCATAGCCATTCCACATTGCCCATGACCAACTGGCGCAATCCCGCAAATTCCTCATGTTTCATCTACGGTGCATAGCAGACGGGGCCCACAATGGTTCGCGATAGATGTGCAAATGTGGACCCTGGGCATTCTGATCCGCGCGGTCGGTTCATCATGGCCTGAGATGGTTCCATGTAAACATCGGTACTTGTGTGTACACATCATGGTACAATCCAAAGTTACCTACCGTAGGTACTGTGTACTTGATGCATGGCTAGGTATTTCCCCACTTTGCTAATTCACAAGTCGAGATGATCACACCACAGCATGTACATGTTGTCGTACAGACGTGCATTGGTACTCTACAAGATGAATTGCAGATAGGGTACTTCTAGACCTCGCCCTTCCGGTGAATACTCTTGTGGCGGGCTGGATGTCTGCACGTGCAGCTCGTATACCGTAACCCAGACACAGCCTCGGAACCTTTTGGGCCTAGCACTCACTGGCCACTCGCTGCACTTGTCGTCATGGATGAAGCCGCTCATAGCAGATCATGTGCAGTGCACGGAGACTTGTTTCTCAGCACAATTCCATCCAAGGTGTCTCTCGTCGTTGTTGTCTTTTTCCATCCATATCCAAACATCGCCAACATGTCTTCTTGTTCTTTGGACGTTTTGCTTCTGCTGGCTGCTGGGTCAGCGCAAACCGCGGGACGCCAGGCTGATAGGGCGATATGATTTCTGCACAAGATGCTGCACGTCTGGCTCAATAAAGGATCGGCCTTCTACGCCGAACCCGCGTTTCACAATCAGGACCTTCGCTACCGCCTGCCTCATCCTACTTCGTTGCCTGTCGCCGTCGCCATCGCCGTTGTTGTTGTCGCCGTCGCTGTCGACTGCTTCCATCGTGAGGTCTCATCGTCAAGCGCGTGCTGCTACGTCACTATCGTGGTTTCGTTCCGACCGCCCCACCCATTTTCTACCCCTCCATATTCCTCGTCCTCCCACATTACAAACCACTTCACCTCCCACACGACACACACACACACACACGTGCGTCTGAAGCCAACATGGGGAAACCACCGAACCTATTCGCTTTCAAGAGCACCGACGAGCTCGCGCGGTCTTTGCGCGAATACATCCTCCAATGCCAGAACACTGCGCTCGAGCGCCACCAGGTCTTTCGCGTAGCCGTCTCTGGTGGCTCGCTGCCCAAGACGCTTGCACAGGCGCTCCTCCAGGAGACTTCTGGCGACGGCAAGGTGCAATTTGACAAGTGGGAAATCTTCTACGCCGACGAGCGCGCCGTCCCCCTCGACCATGAAGACAGCAACCACCGGCTGGTGCAGGAAGAGCTTCTTAGCAAGATACCGGCCGAGCTCGGGAAGCCCAAAGTCTTCCCCATTGATGTCAAGTATCTCGACGACGTCCAGGAACTGGCCGACCAGTACGAGAAGACGCTTGTCAGTGTCTTTGCTGCAAGGGACAGTGTCAAATTACCCCTCTTCGATCTGCTTCTACTGGGTTGCGGACCAGACGGCCACACCTGCAGCTTGTTCCCAGGATCTGAGTTGCTTCGCGAATCAGAAGCCTGGGTCCTCCCCATCTCCGACTCGCCAAAGCCTCCGCCAAAACGCATCACCATTTCCCTGCCAGTCGCACAACACGGACTGAAGATCGCATTCGTTGCGACGGGCGGCGGGAAAAAGGACGTTTTGCGACAAATATTCGACACGGAAGAGGGCCAGCAGCTGCCTTGCGGTCTGATCAACACCAAGGCCGGCGAACGAGTGAGCTGGTTTGTGGATCAACCCGCCATTGAAGGCGTCGCCTATCCAGCACGTCGCGGCAGCCTCTAGAGTGCGTTTGCGGGCTCTTTACGGATGGGAAATCCACAATGTCGGCGATTTGGACGGTACTCCGCCCCCTCTACAGAGCAATGGACTGTGGTTCTGAATTTGTGCTTTCGCGATATATCCGCCTCGAAGTTGAAGGGCCACAACATCTCGAAGTAAGCATTAGGACAGTCTCTTACGAGGTAGATATGAATAGAATACACTTCTTTCTCTCGTTACTCCAATCTGACTTTAAACATCTGCCACGCATTCGTCGTACCATGCTGCTCCTTACTCCAACGCAAGAGCCACTCATTCATGACTAAGCGACAAGGTCCCTGCAGTAACACCCATGTTTCGCCCTGTTTGTTTTCGCTCAACATCACTCCGTCGACGCATGTCGTCTTAGCACCGCCGTGCAACCCAGAACCAAATAGTGCAAGTGGTCAATTGCGATAGCTGAATTATCGATCAGGCCATTCCTTCTGTGCATCTTGGCAACGCTAGGCAAAGGACACGCGAGCTCGACCCAACCCTGCTCCACTTCATCCGACGAAGCAGACATGAGCAACAGCGAGAATGCTCGCTCGATGACGCGGCCGTCTCTCATTCGACCAGTATCAAACCATAATTCTAGTGAAGTGTCCAAGTCGCGATTGGTCCAGCCCAGATATAGCACGCGATCAAGCATCTCCGTCAATGCCAACAATCAATGTACTGACAAAGATGAACCCCCTTCGCCCACTAAGACCTCAAGTCGGTCATCTGAATCCACGAAGCCAGTAGCCGGAGTGGCTGCAGAGGGCACAATGCCGACCCGGCTCCGTCCACGTTCAATGTACCAAACAAGGAGCACCACATCACAACGAGCAGAACAAAGTGCGAAGAGCAGTTCACAATCGATGCGACCACCACCACCACCACCACCACCAGTTAGCAAAATCCCTGAAACACAAGCCGGCGGACTAGGCCGAGCCCAATCCCTCCGCAGGCCAGCCGTTCCCTCTCAATCCACTCGGCCTGCGGGAGCCGCCTCCCACTCTCGAACGCAGTCTGTGAATGCTGCAGTATTCACTCGCAGAGAAGCTGCAAAGACAGCGGCTACGCTGGAGCGACCCAAGTCTCTCGTTGGAGCAGCGAATGCTGGTGTCAGAGCCAATGGACCATCGACTGATACGGCGACTAGCGGTGGGAGCGTGCCTGGCCGACTTGGTGCACACCGACGTGCAGCAAGTACAAAAGCTAAACTCGAAACATGGAGCAGCAGCTCAGAGTTGAAGCCAGCACCACGGCCTAAAGAGTCTGATGCGACCCAAACAGGCCATCGAGACGGTGCCCCCGAAGGACAGAAGAAAACCAGTAGACCAGCTTTCTCAACTTTGCAGCAACATTTCACACCTCGCAAGACGGGAAAAGCACCCACCTCGACTTTCTTGCACCCAGCTCCCAGTTCAGGACCTCAAACTCTGCCGCCTGAGATCAGCAACCTTCAGACCGAATTGTTGCAACTTCACCTGCTCCACCAGTCCTGCAACGACGTATGCAGACAGTGGGAGCTCAGCGCAAAAAGGAGCTTTCGCACACGCTTCGAGGAAGTGGCAAGTCTGCACCAAACCATGCTGGAGCACGAACGAGCCGGTCAAGAGCAAAAGAATCTCCAGTCCCTCATCGACTGGAGCACAGGCCGATCCCCAACCGGACTGGCCGAACACATCCAGGCACTCTCAGCGCCCCTGCATGAACTCCCCTCGCTCGTCGAACCCGGCGGCCGCCTCCAAAGACAGGTCGCCGCGTTCGAGCACTGGATCTCCTGGGTGCAAGACGTACGCCGTGCGCGACAAGACCCCACCACCGCCGCAACAACAACCGGCTCACGCACCATCGAGGGTCTCGGCGACTCATGGAAATCGGAAAACACAAGCCTCGTGCGCAAGTTGGCGTCTTTTGCGCGCGCGCTGGATACCCTCGACGCGGCGCCGCCCACGCCCGGATCCAGTCTTGCGTGCATTGTGCAGTCGTGCAAGGCGCTGATGGCGGCTGCCTTGGAGGAACTGCAGCTCATGCATGTGATTGAAGCCGAGTTGGTGGCTAAGGAGCAGGGTTGGGTTGAGGAGCGGTTGGGGATGATTGCGAGGGGGGTTGGGGGGTGTGAGGTGGAGGGGTGTGATGAGGGTGCTGCGTGGCGGAAGTAAAGGGGTTGTATGATGCAAAGGATATGGCCCATTGGGGAGGTTAGAGTGCCGCGTACTCATACTCCATCATGTATTGTGGTGCTGGTTTGTGGCGATTTGGGTGTTACAGCTACATAGGTCGCCTGGTTAGTCACATACAGTAGCCTCAGGTTCCACGGGCTCTCCCGGTATCATTATACGAGGGGGTTACAGCGGTGCAGCAAAAGAGTTTGGAATCTTGAATAGAAAGACGAGATCTTGGTTAGCTGCTGATACTCGAAATAATCTCACTATTCCCATGATCGGCATGTATACACAACATGCTCATGCCCACACTCGCAAATCCCTATGCAATAACACAGTACAATACACCATACCACCATCAATCCCCACCTACAACCCCCCAACCACCCCCAGTCCACTTATCTCGAAACATGGCACTCGTATTAGTCAATTCGATTCTATCCAGAGCTCAAGCATCTCCCCCTTCCATCTCCATCCGAGCAAAATCTCATCTCCCCAGACGCCCTTGACGCCATAAACGCGCTTTACCGTACGTCCTACCGTACCGTATGCCGTGTCTAGTGCATCTCCTGCGTAATCAGAGGGAGTAAAGCGAAACGCAGATTTCGGAAGATAGGTATGGTTGGTTTGATGGCTTGCTTGTTTGAGGATATATTTGCGCAGTAGGAGTGGTGGCTTTGTACAAGTCTGCTTGCTTGCACACATTGTACTGGACTGGTACCTCTTACCGCTGTACTCTTTTGTACGATGGGTGCTTCTTCTCCAACTCGGTGGGGAAAGACCCCGCAGGATGGTCATAGCTCTCTTCTCGAGGACCCCGCAACGTCACATCTACGATATGATACGCTACGGTATCTCGACGCAGGCTTTGAGGACTTGAGGCTGCTTCACCGTTGAGCGAGTAGTGTCATCTGAACACGGGTGCGTGTATGTGTATGTATGCGTGGCTATCTGGCCCATTACCAAGGCATTGAACAAGCCCCAATCGCTGGAGTTGTTACTTTCTCTGGGTACCTGCACCGGTGCCGTACCTAGTGCCCCGCAATTTCTTCCCCGAGAGCAACCGGTAGGGACGTGACCTAGGCTGTCTACCGTACATCGCGCCGTTAGCACTGGTATAAGAGAAGGCTTGGGACGCGGGACGCGATAAAGAAAAAGGTTCGATATGAGGTCGTTTGCAGCGAGTGCGCGGGCTGTTGCAAAATCGAAAAGTGTTCAGAGTCGGTTTCAGAGGGCTGGGCTGCCGGTTTTTGTGAAGTCGAGGGGGTATGCGGGAATGGCTCCTACTGTATGTCTTATCTTGCTTTCTCTCACGTTTTTTGGGGTGGTTAGGACGGGTGTGCTGACGATTTGGTGTAGTTGAATGATCAGTCTCTTTTCAAGACTCGGGCATATGTCAATGGAGAATGGATAGGTGCGAAGTCGGGCAAGACCTTTGAGGTCCACGGTGAGATTTATATCAACTACAAAGCTTGTCGTAACGTCGTCTGACATGCCATAGATCCCGCAACAGGCAAATTGATTGGTACGATGCCTGAGATGGATCGTGCTGATACTGAAGCTGCCATTGCCGCTGCATCTGCCGCCCTCCCATCCTTCCGCAAACTGACCGGCCGCGAACGCTCGCGGATGCTGAGAAAATGGTACCAACTCATGGTGGACAACGCCGACGACCTGGCCAAGCTGATAACGTGGGAGAACGGCAAGCCCATCGCCGACGCAAAAGGGGAAGTGACCTATGCCGCGAACTTCTTCGAGTGGTTCGCAGAGGAAGCACCCAGGCTGTATGGCTCCACCATTCCGGCCTCCGTCGCTGGAAACCGCGTCTTTACGATCAAAGAACCTGTAGGGGTATGCGGCCTCATCACACCCTGGAACTTTCCCGCCGCAATGATCACTCGGAAAATCGGTCCCGCTCTTGCAGCAGGATGCACCGTCGTCGCCAAATCCCCTGGCGAAACACCCTTCACGGCCGCCGCCCTGGCCGAACTCGCCCACCGCGCTGGTATCCCAAAGGGCGTCGTCAACTTCGTCACGGCGCTTGACAACACACCTGAAGTGGGCGAGACGCTGACGACCAGCAAGACGGTCAAGAAGGTCTCTTTTACCGGCTCCACGGGCGTCGGCAAGCTCCTCATGAAGCAGTCAGCCTCGACGCTCAAAAAACTCTCCTTTGAACTCGGTGGCAACGCGCCCTTTATCGTCTTCGACGACGCCGACCTCGACACCGCCGTCTCTGGCGCAATCTCCTCGAAATTCCGCTCCTCGGGCCAAACCTGCGTCTGCGCCAATCGCTTGTACATTCAATCTGGCATCTACGACGCCTTTTGCAACGCCTTTGGCAAAAAAGTTCAGGCCTTTAAAGTTGGCAATGGCTTCGATCAGGGAAACACACACGGCCCGTTGATTCACGACCGCGCCGTCGCAAAAGTCGACGCACACGTCCAGGACGCAGTCAAACACGGCGCCACCGTCCTCGTCGGCGGCCACAAACTTGACCACCTAGGTGCCAACTTTTACCAGCCCACCGTCCTCCGCGATATGACGGCGGACATGCAACTCGCCTCGGACGAAACGTTTGGACCTGTGGCTGGTCTCTTTTCTTTTGACACAGAGGCCCAGGTCGTCGAGCTGGCGAATGCGGCCGAGGTTGGGTTGGCGGGCTATTTCTTCAGCCGCGATGTCCAGCGCGTTTATCGCGTTGCCGAGGCTCTCGAGGTCGGCATGGTCGGTGTGAATACGGGCTTGATATCCGATGTGGCGGCGCCGTTTGGCGGTGTCAAGGAGAGTGGGTTTGGGAGGGAGGGCAGCATGTTGGGTATCGACGAGTATGTGACTACGAAGACTGTGACGTTGGGTGGGAATGGCGAGGCGTTGCAGGGGAAATGAGTGAGCAAGGGGAAGTTTGGTGGGTCTCTGGTCAGGTAGGGAGGGTTGTATATCTGTATGTATATGTACGGTTCTTTCCTCTCTAGTTCAACGCCAAAGCGCCACCGTTGGCACGAGATTTGAACTTCCTTGGACCATTTTCAGACGTCGAAGGATAATCTTCGACTTTCAACCCGCGCCTCCACTGCGCCATCTGCTCACTGAACGCCTGTTCCTCGCTCGTCAACTCCCGCTTCCTCAGCCTATTCGCACCCGCACCAGCATGACTATTTCCAGCGCCCAAACTACCGGCAACACAATGGTTCTTGCCCCCCCACGCCGTCTCCGCAACCCTCTTCCACAGCGCCGTCATGTCCACCATCATGGGCTTTGTATACAAAATCCTACAATCCGCCGTCTCATAGACAAACTGCAGCGGCGTCTGCGTCTCATCGCCATCGCGAATGGCATCGCGAAAGTTGATACCCCCCGCGCTGAACAAGGCGGCGCGATCAAAGAACGTCTGCTCCCAGTACTGTCCCAGCACCGTCTTATTGAGCTCCTGGGACTCGGCGAGCGACGAGTTGGTAAACGTGATTGTGTCGTTTGCGATGCTCCGGACCCCGGGGAGACTTACTCCCTGCGTGCCCCTTGTGCCGCCAATGTGCTGGGTGAGACCGGGGCGGGGACGGCCGCCGAGGGCGACGAATTGCACGCCTGCGCGCTGGCGCATGAGTTCGGCGAAGACGGCGCAGGTGGAGGCGCAGATGCCGTCTGTGACGACGACGATGTCGGCGGCGTCAAAGGGGGTGGTGTTGTAACTTGCCAAGGGGCCGTAGCCGTGGATATCAACATAACCGTTGAAACGCGTCATCACGTCGCCGAGGTTCCAGCGGAAGAGATTGGTGAAGTTGTCGCCTTTTGCCTGGACGGGGCCGAAGAAGGCGTCCCAGCTAGGGAAGGGTTTGGAGTTTACGTCGAGGTTGGATTCGTAGTTGAGCCAGTTTGAGACGATTTGCAATTGGCCGTATAGCGCTGGGTCTTCCTCGTACGACAGGTTTGTGCGGGTAAAGGCTTTGGAGAAGCGAGACCATTCTGTGCCGGCAATGTAGAGGTCTTCAAAGGCGCGGGCGCGATCGGCGGCCGCGTGGTCGATTAGGGTGGGGAAGAGGAGCTTGTACATGTCGTAGGCTAGCAAGATGGTACCTCCACTGTTATGCTGCAGGTCGATGATGAGCTTCTTCTTGCCATCCTGCTTGGCACGCCTGAGGAACTCTACGGCCGTGTCCTGGAAGGACTGGTGGCCGCCGTAGGAAACAAAGTCGGGGATGGCGAGAACGGCAACGTCAGATGTTTCCTTGTCGAGGTAGTAGCCTCTGATCAAATTGTCAACTTGACGGACGACGGGAGGTGGGTATCCCGGGGCTGGGAGTGGTGTCTCGGCAGAAGCGCTCTGGTTCGTAGGTGTCGGTATCGGTGGCCATGGTTGTGGCAGGGGCGGGTTGCCCGTGTACCAGACTTGGTAGAGGCTCTCGCCATCCGTGACGTTGTTGAAGTGGGGAAGTTGGACAGTCGCCATGTTCTCGTAGGAACGAGTGGTACCGTTTTCAAACAAAAAGTCAGTAGTCGGACCGGGGTAGTGCTGAGATGAAGTTAGCAAGCTTCCTTCAAGAGTGTATCACCGGTGACAGTGTGACAGCACATACCCATCTCGATCGTCCGTCTCCAGCAAAATTACCAATTGGAAAGGTCCCAGGGGCCAGAGAGAGGGCAGGCAATCCGTAGAACAACTCGTTGTACAGTGCGTCCCGATCATGATATCGACCGTGCTCTGCCCAGTCCTCCAGGTATGCTATCGCATCCTGGCCATTGATCTTGGAGATTGGGGATGGCGTCCAGGAGATGTCACCGAGGCTCTCGTCTACGATATCTTGCTGCACATAAGGCTTGGGCATCTCTTGACCATCTGAAGAGACGGAGACGAGCGACATGGGTCTCCCGAACAGAAATGCAGACCCGAAACTATCGGGCACATAGAGAAGATGGCTATCGTGCGGGGCGTGGAACAGTTCATACACGTCAAGGCCAAACTAGTGCTGCTTAGCATCACCATTGCGTTCCATGTGGCCATGACATACCTCGTATTCATTCTTGTAGCTTCCTGCACGGACTTTGTTCCTGATGTTTTCCCATTGACCCCAAAGATCAAACGGTCCTCGTACCTTCTCAGCGTACTCCTTTGGTGGATCCTTGAGCCATGCAGTCGTGGATTGCCACTGCAAGTAAATACGTGTGCTTTCAATCAGTTTCAAAGCAGGACCCTGGTGGAAAGGCACTGAAACAAGGCATTCCATTGCCAGTTGGGCAGGTACCGTTGGATCGGTACCATCCTTTGGCTGAGCAGCCACCAAAGCCGCAACCTGCGCACACGGACTCGCAGTATTTTGACGGGCGAGTAAAGGAGAAGAAAACGAGGCAGCCAACGCCGCAGAAGACAGCGAGAGTCCTGCAATGGTACCGAGAAAGCGAGCCATGATTGCAACCCAGTTGAGTGGCACCGGGATAGATGTGTAACGGCTGTGCAATCTCAAGTTCCAGGACGCCAGGGATGCGAGGTCTCCATTTGATTTATACCCACCGTGCTGGAAGACCCGTAGCACGGCGGACCAGGTAGCTCGGACTATCAGGTATGGCTCTATCCCGTACATAAATCACCTTGAACCGCCGAGCGCACAGATGTCAGCTCGGGCTCGAGGGAATCCTCCCCCACCTATAATATAGAAATCTAGGCCAGCAAAAGATGGTAAAGGTACTTGCCTGTTCTAAGTCTTAGCAGAGTACATGTATGTTGCCTGAGAGTTGCGTGATTTGGTAGCAGAAAGGAAAATACCTCTTGTCCGGAGAACACACTACCTAGTATACCACCGAGCTAGGGTGAGTATATACGACTGGCGCCATACATGGTACACGGGGACAGTAAACTCAGACGACCCGTCGCACTTGGGAAATGAGGCAAAAGCGAACACTTGTACGCCATCGCCCTGTGTACGTCACGTTATACATGGTAGGTTATTGATGTTGCGACAATACCTTTTCAATGGAACCATCTGTAATACCCACAGCAGGATGGATTGCTGCAAGGAAATGGCGAAGCTATACATAGAACTCGTAGGGGTAGGTAACCACCCATGCAAACCACGCAGATCAACGCCATAGGTACCGTACGGTCAAGTAGCTCCCTCACCATCATGTACCGTATCCAACACAACTTCCCCAGACACAGCATCGGCAACACAACCATGCAGTCCAACCCACTGCAACCTCGCCCCAGCCAAAAACCCAACAATAAACAACAAACACCCCAACCCCACCTCCAAATTCCTACCCAGCTTTCATAAAGCGGTTCCATGAGCCAAGCAACCCCACGGCTTCACAAGATTGGCAACACACTCTATACTCCTTTAGGAAAGGGACCCCGACACAGTGTCCACGACTTCTTACACTTGGCATCCGCACTTGCTGGATACACTTTTCCCGCTGACATCAGAAGACGGTGTGGTGGAAGCGGGGTTCAGCGTCGGCGGCCCGCTTTGCTGTGGCTCCGGTCGGGCGGTGGGTAAATAGAAGGATAGGTACGGTACATTAGGTGTCGAGGTGGCTTGGCTGTGGAGGGGAGAGAAAGTGGATTAGTAAGTGGGTAGCGGGCAAATTGCGAGGCCTGGGGCTCAAGGGCGTGGAGGAATGCAAGGGCAATCAGCAGCTACTATTACAGTAGAATTCTTTCTCCCTCGAAATATTGCTCGCTACCTGGCGCCCTTGAATTGCAGTGTCTCTCTGGACGGCAAAGCCGGAAGGAAGGACGTTACCAAGGCCTTCCTTTGTGTATATAACGTGATGATTACGAATGGTGATGATGATGAAGGTCCGATAAGCACACTGAGTACACAACTTAATAGGTATGCCCCAAATGAACGCACGGGTGGGAATAGGCTAGTGATATCTTCGGCGAGATCTCAAAGGACCATCGAACCGGCCTTAACATTTCAAAGCCGAAGTAGGAACAAGTGTGGATTGAACTGGGATTAATATTGATAAAACTGCAAAGTTCGGTCCGCAAACAAATGTCTGCGCCAAGCCTTTGCATCCGCTATACATAGTACCGTATGTTACAGCTTCATGCCTAGAACCTTGTGCACCCGCAGCGCTTGCCTGATACTCAGGTCGAGCATGATTTCCTCGCTTCCACCAGGGATAGCATAAGCCCTCACATCTCTGTACAGCCGCTCAACCTTGGCACCTTGCCCTCCGCGACTATAACTCAGACCGCCAAAGATCTGACTCGCCTCGCGGGCGCAAAACTCAAAGGTGGTTGTGCTTTGCGCCTTCAAGCTGGCAATGGCGCCACCAAGCTTCAACATGGCCTCCATCTCATTCATCTTTTGGCACTGGTAGACCAGGTTCTCGAGCCAGTTGTAGGAAGCTTCAATTTGGCGCGCCATGTGGGCGAGCTTGAGACGGATGACGGGGTGGTCAATGAGGCGCTTGCCAAACGTCTTGCGCTTGTGGGCGTACTTGACGCTCTCTTCGTAGCAGACGCGAGAGAAGCGAATGCACTGGATGATGATACCGATGCGCTCGTGGTTGAAGTTGGTCATGATGACCTTGAAACCCTGGTTCTCTTTGCCAATGAGGTTCTCAACGGGGACTTTGACGTCCTCAAAGGTAATGTAGGTTGTGCCACTGGACCAGACACCCTGACAGTCCATCTTCCGTGTTGACACACCGCCGGCACTGCGCTCAATCAAGAGAACAGAGATACCGTTCATACCCTCGCCGCCGGTACGGACGGCAGTGGTAAAGTATTCGGACCACACACCGTTTGTGATCCACTTCTTTTCACCATTCACAATGTAGTGTTTGCCATCCTCGGAGAGCTTGGCCTCACAGGTCAAGTTGGCAACATCGCTACCAGCATCTGATTGAATTAGCTTGTGCAGTGACTCTGACTGGAATGGGGCATTCTTACCTGGTTCAGTAATAGCAAGACAAATCCTCTTCTCGCCGTTCAACAGACCTGGACCAATGCGCTTCACGAGCTCTTTCTTGCCAAATTTGAATAGAGGAGGGCCTCCGATGCCGTATCCTCCAATCAGGTTCCAGACAAGACCACCACTACCAGTACGCGACAGCTCATCCGTAAGGATCATCTCGTGGAAGTGATCCCACTTCTCAGGTGGCACGCTCTTGACCCTCTTGTCTGTGTACTGTGCAGGATAATGGATACCGAGCAAGCCAGCAAGATAGCCACGCTCGCCCATCTCGAGGTAAATCTCATCGGGTACCTTTCTTGTTTCCTCCCACTCTGTAACATATGGGGCGATCTTCTCGTCGACCCATTGTCGGACTTCTTCGCGGAGGGCAGCGTGAGTTTCGTTGTAGTAGGGAGAGTGGTACTATAGAGCCAATTAGTTATGCTCTGGAGCCAATGCGAAGATGCTATGCATACAGTCTGGTACCACGATGGATCTGCGTATGGCACTAGATCGCCATAGGAGTCGAATGGCTCGATATCCGCAGCGGCGGAGGTTGGCTGAGGTGCGACGACGCCAGAGTTTGCCTCTGGCTTGACGATATCTTTCTTCTCGCTCTTCTTTTCAGGAGCGGAAGTCGCAGGGGGAGCGGGTGGTGCCGCCTTGGTGTCTAGGGAGCCAACCTGTAGTTTCTTTTGGTACTTCTTAAGGATGCTGTCGTTGTGGTACTTCCAGAACTGCTTGGAAGCGTCTTTGCCAGCTACGCGGGTGAGGACTGGGTCTGGTCAGCTCCGAGTTTACACGATGAAAGGACAGATAAGCCTTACTCTTCTTTCCTCCGGGATGTTCATCCGCAAAGTTGGTGAGGTCATAGACATCCTCATCTACAATAATCCACAAGTCACTCGCAGTCTTGTGTGACGCGACCTCAGCCGCAGAGAATCGCTTTGACATCTTGACTGATGTTCAGAGAAGGAAGGATAGTAGGGAACGAGAAGGACAAGGTAATGGTACAGAAGACTGAGCAATGATCACAAGACAGAGCAGGGCGCAGATGGAGTTATGGATCCCAATCCTTTCACATGCTCGGCTACTTCACGCCAAGCGAGTCCGGGGCAGCCGCTGAAATATGGCGCATGAATGTGATCGCAGACGTTGCAATTGGCTGCGTGGTTACAGATGAACCAGCCTCCCGTTTGAGGCGCGACGTCATGTCATAAACTGCCGAGGTATTGCCTCTTTCGGACGCTCACGTGGACGCATTTTCGAAGCTCAACCACAGGTCTTTCACATGCCAAACACGGTTTGCTGACAATCAGAAGCTTGACGGCTCGTCGTACCATCATATACATTAGCTGTTGCGCATGTTCAAGGCCGACAGGACGATCGGACGATGTCAACCCCAGATTTCGCTAGCGGGTTGGAGAGCAAGTTCGCAGCTTCGAAATGCGGAGTGACTTCACGTGAGCTCATCGTCGTGGGGATGGACTACCGGTAGCACCGTCTTGACATTCGCAGCTCATGTCCCCCACAAAGCTAAAATCCGAACCAACGTTATGCCTACTCCGACGATGTCTCCTCGGGACAGATCTTCAGCTGAGGTGCTAGTGAAGAAGGGCTCAGACATAACGGCTCCTGATGGCCCCCAAACAGAAGGCATGATTCGCATGCCTGCGCTTGTAGATGTCTCGGATCAAATGTGTAGTACTGGCAAGTTACTTCCTCTGGTCTGGGACCATGGGTGACGGCTCTAGACTAACGATCAAAGTAATGATCGCGAAACCGCACACAGCTTCTGCAGTTCATCACCATGGGGAAGAGGGTATGTCTTGAGCCCGACTTGTACAATATTCACTTTGCTGCGCCTGTTGCGAGACAGCGATCCACCATGGACCTGCTCTGATTGATTCCCAGACACCATCGTGTTCGCCTCGAAAGGTCACGGTGCCATTGTGAGTGGACGGAATGGAGAAAAGAGGCAAGAGCTGGCCCCTGGTGACTTTGCTTTGATACCTGCGTATGCCGAGCACCAAGAGGTCAACGATAGCGATGAGGATGTCGTATGGATTATCACTCGTGGTGGCAGAAATCCGATAGTACAGAACCTCGAAGGTTGGAGTAAGACGCATTAAAATCTGCCAAAATAGAGAATTTTTTTTGGGGGGGGGGGGATGGAGCTATTTGAATGCGAAGCAACTAGTATGTAAAGCCTGTGCAAGACGATGCTTATCATAAGGTACCTACCGACTCGAATACAAAACCAAGCACCTTCAACAATCCTTAGCGTGAGTGACCCACAGGGAACAACTCCTAATCTTACCCGTAAAAGATTATGGCTTTGGTATGTTGTCGAGTTATTCAGACATGTACATGAACTCGCCTTACCAGAGGAAATGATTTGTGCCCTGAGGAGGCTCTGAATAAGTGATAATGTGTTGGTCAGCAGTGACCCACAAAGTAGCAGGTTTCGTCAGCAGAAGCTGTTAGACCCACACGTGTGACAGCTCATAAGATTGAGTGGATACGACTGAAATTCGGAATCCTACTCCTCCCGACTAGGACGACATGAGGTGAGTAGCGGTCGGCGTATGTACTGTGTACATAGATTGAAGGGCTTCTAGACGTGGCTGGGCTGTGAATTGAAATTATGCAAGTCTGTGCCCAACAATAATCGGTCCGCAGTACTACTCGTCGTACTGTTTGGACAGCCCAAAGGAACACCATAACAACAGAGACAAACAAATTGAAGGTGTCATGAGCATTTGACGTGTGACGACTAATAGTGGTATTCATACGGCAGAGGCCGCCGTTCATTCGTGAAATTATCTACAAAACGTGCAAATTGAGACATTCGATATATGCTCGTGCAGGTCGTAAACGTACTCTTCGGTCCTCATGAAAGATGCCCAACCCTATATACCAGGTATCCAGATGAATTATGTATAATGAAATTCGTAAAATACAATAACCAGCCAGCCTCGGACAGCCAGCACCAGATTGTTAGACTATGGAAAGGCTCGTAGGCGCAGGCCGTTAAAAGAGTGACTGCATGCCCTAGACATAACTGCGTCGGCTTCGGCTGTGGCTCTGGTGTGAATAGCGTGGGCTGCGGGATCGGTGGCCATGACGAGAGCGGTGGACTTCACGCTTGACGACTACGCGCTCACCGTCGCTGCGGTGATGGCGGTGGACAAGCAGAGCCAAGATGGAAGTAATGACGAAAAATATGATGTTCCTGCTGCTGATTAGCATGATGCACCGAGACTAAGAACAAGTACCTGAACCTACATGATGCCAAAAGCCCAGCTTGCCTTGAGCATGGCGCATTGACGGTCGACGTTCAAGTCATATCGGTTTCCAGTGATGCTGAAGATACCCAGGTTGGCGCTGTACTGGCTGTCGCGGCTGACATCTGTGCAGTCTGCATTGGCGATGCCTCGAAGCTCATATACAGCTGCGATGAAGGCCCCGACGAAAAGTAGGTCAATAAAGGCAACGAACTTGGCCGAGTGACGTGCGCGCGAGTAGAGGAACAGTGTGCCTATAGCCCATGCCGCACCCAGGACGGACACGATGAAGAGGATCAGGATTGACCGCGGCGTAAGGAAATTGCGACTGTTGAACCAATCGACAAACCAGGCGAGCATGCCCAGTGTGGGAATGAGGGTGACGATCTGGAAGACCCTCCAGAACATGAACAGGATCCCAGAGAAGGACATGATGGCGGTTGGCTGTTGTGTATTGTCCCGAGATGACTTTGGGGGGCAAAGATGGTCAAGATGTCCGAGTGGGTAGAGCGTGCCAGGTGAACGACGGGCGAGACACCGTGTCGTTGGTATGACGATGCGCCTGATAGTTGGTGCGATGCAACGAGGTCTGGTTATATGACAGCTGCAGGCAGAAATGGTGGGACACCGCGCCTTTATGATATGTCGCCTGGGCAGCGACTAGGATGGCGGATTGTTTTACAATTGGATGCCGGCAGACTGTTAGTCCTGCAAGATATATGGGGGTTGATAGGCTCTGAGAGTGACGTAGAGTTTGGTGGTTGAGTGTAAGAAACCGGATAGGTAAGAGAACGTGGGCCAGCATAAGGCACTTTCACCTGGGCAGATGCAAAATGGCGGGGGGAGGCTGGGATTTGAGGTGGCTGGGTTGTACCTACCCTACCTGGACTACCTGGCTACCTAAGTATACCGGTACACCTACCTTTTCAATTTCGGCCAACCACAACACCTCCTCTTCTACGCCTCACTACTACTACTACTACTACTACTACTACTTCTCACGCCTTTTGCTTAGTCCAATACTTGCGACATCTTGGTGGGTTTCTTTTGTCGCAGGTTCTTTTTTCGAGCCCAAGGCTTTTACTGTGTCACCCCTTTCGAACAAGCCAAGAGTCGCAGTCTAGGGGGGCAACATCGGTCGATGCTGCCAATCCTCTTCAATATTGGGGTATACAATAACTTGCGCTCATTATCAAGGGCCTCAACACAATAGTGTCTCTCCTCTTAGGGGCCGTTGAGGACAGGGAACAATGTTCCGACGTTGGCCTTCTTCGGTCCACTTCACCCGTGTTCCGCCCCATACCGGTACCATCAGGTCCAACATTTGACCTCCACATTAATGTCGAATCCAGCATCGCATGCGACCCCTGCGATGATCTAGGCAGTTTCGCATCTTTCGGCTCGTGAACAGAAGACTTGCAATGAGTAGCAACGGCTTCCCACAGTAGATTAACGTCAACAGCTCTTTCTAGGATCAAGACGCGGCTTAGCATCATTTCCGTCCTGCAAGGTGATGGGATTCCCCGACGCCTAGTATTGCCAGCCAGGCCGTTCGACCTTATCACAGGCATCTCCTTTGCCAGTAGCGACCGGCTCTTAGTCTGTCCCAACAAGACATTTCGCTCAGTCTTCCCTTCGGGCCCTTCGGCTGGCTCGGGGCGGTATTGGGCTCTCAGCCATGCTTTGGAGCTATCCTTCGAAGAGCTCGCTACGCTTTTGTGGCTGCTCGCTTCTTGGATAAACATGCAGACGTTTCGAAATCGAACAATGTTCCTTATCAGTGCCAGACCTCTTGTCGGTCCAACTACGCTCTATCCGGTAGTTTAATGGCTCCACATGCTTGACCTGCGGCAAGGGAACCAGGGTCCTCAAAAGAGGGCAATCTGCACTATTATACATCAGCAACTGTATGAAGAATGCCCGACATGTTTACCCCTCGTGTTACCTTAAATCGCGTCCTACCTTTTTCATTCATTGAGTTCTCATGTTCTTTTTCTGGGCATCTTAATGTAGCACACTTGCAAGTCCGACTGTCCCATCAGACCACGCCATGTAAATCCACTCACAACAGACTACAACTACCTCTTCCCTGAAATCTCATCTCCTCTTAGGTTCTCCATGATTCTGATCCACTCATTCCCTTGGGAAGGCCATTCTTATAATTCTCACAATTAATCGCCGATCAACACTCACTAGCATAACAATGTCTGCCAGAGGAGCTCGCAGTCGTAAAGTGCAGCAAAAGAGCATTGAGAAGACAGAAAAGAAGGGTTCTCTCAAGGGAAAAGGAAAATCTACAGAAATCAGCTACGATAGCCCAGATGCATTTGCCCAATGGCGTGTTTCGCCGAGCGTCAACGACTCAAGAAATGGCATTACCCGGACACTTACAGGATCCAGCAAGACCAGTCGCGGCACCTCACGTAGTGGCTCAACCCATGATGGTGGACTGACTCGATCTCGTTTAAACACTGTACATTCGAGAAATTCATTCGAAGAGCGACAAAGCCCAAGGCCCGCTTCGGTATCCGATGTCTCATCCAAAAGCAATGCAAATGCCAAATTCCAGACACATGGCAAAGAGACAAAGGCTCCTCGCGGTAGAGGCGGTGGAGTGCCTATTAAGAAGATGAACACAACCTTCAGTGTACCACCCACCTTCCGAACTGAATCAACTTCATCTCAAAGTCAATCGAGCCAGAATTCTTGGGCTAGTTTCAAAATTTGGGGTAGAGAAAGAAATGAGATGCGACCCTACAATGGGTTCGATCTGGTAAATTTAGTCACGAACGTATACAATATTCATCTGACGTGTTCAGGACCATGACATGCAGACAGGGGAGGTATTAATCCACCTTGGTGGACAGCAATTCGAAGACGACCTCCCGGTGCCCACAATACGGGCTGATCTTCAAGTCCTACAAGATTCAGGCTCTACATGGCTGACAAACACACTCGCAATGGGTCGTATCGAAGATGACGACATCAGCGACTGGGAATTGTCCAACGATTCGGGGTCATGGCTGCAAAATGAGCTCCCACCACCCAGTTTCAATCAGCCCAAACGGCACAAAATGCTACGACCAGCTTTGCCGGGTAAAACGTATCCCCAACCTTTTGCAAATGACCAGGGGCACAGTGGCGTAGACTCTCAAACGACATCGCAAGCGCATCACCTCACTGAAAGTGCTCAGACAGAGTATGCGATCTCGCCTGATCTATCCCAATGGAGCGATGATCAAATGACAACTCATCAGATATGGTTTCCTATACCAAGTAATATACAGACGATGCATGGTCAAAGACTGCACCATGTTGCCATTCGCAACTTTCTCGCCATCTTGCATGGAAAGTCCATAGTGGGAGCTGATTTATTCGAGATGGTGGATACATTGCAGGCTACAATTGTAGTAATGTATGATTTGGACAACAACCAGTCTGGCCTGACACCTCAAGAGCTGAGTATCCAAATGATTACAGACTATCTAGAGCAGCATGGACTTGATGATGTCCGAAACAATGTCAGACATGCTTTGGGGCTTCTCTTGTGGTCCGAGCAGGACAATGTGAGGTGGCGACAGGGCTATTTGGAGAGTTTTGTTCACCTTGCGGGAGTCATGACATCGGAAATAGAGGAACTTTCGGATTTTAAGCGACTGTCTGTAGTGACGAGGCGTAATCTAGGAATGGCTGGCAAGACGCTGCAATTGCGAATCATGGAAGCAGAGGAGCGGCTAGCAGGCTTTGAATTCGCGGATCTTTGGGGGAACGATTCCAAGATTGCCAACGGTCCAGTACATCGACACTGCCAACTATTCCGTCAATTTTTGGTCAACCACTACGCCCGGATCTATGGCAGCTGGCCACCAGTCTCCGGTAAGACTTGGCTCAACCGTAAGATTGTACAGGCCATGCAGAACGATTTTGGCTCTCTTTACGACTACCTTGTTAATCGCGAAGTCTTTTGGAACCCTCGCGAGGAGCGCGCAAGAAGAAAGTGGGAAATGGCGCATCGTAAGATGGACGGATTCCAGGCAGATCTACCAGAACTGGACATCACTGATGTGCTGGTCATGTTTGACGGAAAGCAAGGATACACACATATCCCGCATCCCTACCCATTACTTCCGATAGAACTACCCAAGGGGGGCAAAGAAAAGGAGAAGAAGGGGTTCTTTTCGTCGTTGAAGAAGGACAAGACCAAGGAGACTACAAGGGACGCAAAGGCTCATCTTCAGCTCTCCATTGTCTTCAGTGACGCAACTAACATTGAGAAGCTAGATGTGAACTTCAACGGTAAGCAGAGACTCCTAGCATACACATCGATACCTACTGACAGACTCCCCAAGGTTCCACCTTGATAGACAAGTTCGAGCAGTTCGAGCTCACCACCGACCTAAAGCACGCCACGCCCCGTGTAGCGCGCCTCGGTCGCTGGGTCCTCCTCTACGGCATCCTCCAAGTCCTCTCCACACTGTCCGTCGATGTCCAAGGCCTGAAACATACAGAAGGTGTCCACTATTTTCTTTGCACAGATCTCAAACGTGTCCCTGAATGGGTCACCAACGGCCAACTGGAATACCTCGAAGCCAGCCAAAACCGTTCCTGGTGCTGGCAACGCGCCTGGGACCCCAAGACTGCTCATGTCCCCCCCATTGAACTCGAAGCTTCCCTTCCTATCAACAGAGAGCGCGGTGCTACCCGCCAGGAAGATTCGTACAAGGGAGACTACTGGGTTATACATTCGTTTCCCAGCCCGCCACCACAAGGCGCTCTTCCTGCTCCACCCCATACCCTCGACTCTACAACATCAATGACAAACGACCTCCGCCGCATCAGCAAGAAAATCGACTCTCTCTCGCTCCCTCACAACACCACAAGATCCACCCATCAAGATCTGCAACTTCCTATCCAGCACCCACACCTCACCGCAGACAAAAAGGAAATACTCAAGTCAAACAACTTTTACCCACCACCTTCCACCACCACATCACGCCCCCCCTCACGCTTAGATGCTCAAGCACAACATTCCATCCAGACCAACCCCCCACTACGAAGTACATCGCGTATAACCCACTTCAACCCTCTCAACACCGTTATCAACACCCACCACATCCCCACCGAGCCAGACTACCACGCCCGCCATCTTCGCAGCGGAATATCAAGTCTGAACACGGATTTGGGCGCATACCCTTTCAGCCACGCTGACACGGTCTTGTCCCTGCCGCCGCATTACCATGAGAGTGGCGTTGGAGTGCGCGGTGACGACTCCAAGGGTGCTGGGCGGGCGGTGCGGCGCGCTGATTGCAAGGATAGGGAGAGTGGGGTGTTGGGGTTTGGATGTGGGTTTGGGTTTGAGGATGGGGATGCGTGTGGGCGTGGGGGTGTGCATGGGGATGATATTTTGGGGGTTGGGAGTCGTGGGGGTGGGGTGGGTTGAGTGGTTTGTTGGTGGTGTGGGAGGGTGGGTTAGAGGGAGTGTGGGAGTGAGGGAGTGTGGGTTAGGGATGATTGGATGGAGGAGGGAGGTGGTGGAGAAGGAGGAAGAGAACAAAATGCTGGACTTATTTATTCTACCCGCGTACCGTGTATACCCCTTCGCTTCAGCGCTCGTCTTGTCTCATAATTTTCCCTTGCTTATCTGCTCTTCTATAAAACGAACAACAAGTAGATATTGATCCCGATGACAGGGAACTTGTATCCCAGGTCTCTTCCCAGACCAAAAAAATCCAAGTTGCTTTGTTGTTGGGTAGGAAGACGTTGAGACGATTTACCAAATCAAGTGTGAGGAGTTGCTCAAGTAGAGGATTCACCTGCACCGAGTCCTCTAAAATACACTTCTGGAATTTAAGCAAGATATACAATTCATGCATCATTCATTCCTTCATTCAACTCAGGGTATCATCCATCCATCCATGCATCCAGCCACAACACACTTACAACCTCAACCCCCGTTTCCCAGAGAAAAGAAAGCCCTTCTCTTCTCCCTAGCCTGTTGATCCAAAGACACCGTCTCATTCCTCGGTCTGCCCCGTTTCCCCTTCTTCGCCGTCTTTTGCACGCCGGGCTGCTTCTCCAGCACCACCGACGGCGGCGCAGTCTCCTTGACCGCTTCCTTGATCGTCTGCTTAGAGAGGCAAAAGTCAATGTGCGCGTTGAACGAGGCGTCGTCGGGGGGTTGCGGGAGCATGCATATGGGGCACTGCCACTGCGCCTGCTGCTCGCTGGGTATTTCCGGGACTCGGGGAGCTGTGAGCGGTTCTTTGGCGATGCGGTGGATGTGCTCTGGATCTAGCTCTTGGGAGAGTTTTTCCAGCTCGTTCATCTCGTCGTTGCGTTCCTGGCGGGCGGCTTCTTCGAATTCCTCTTCGGGCCAGGTTTCCCACGAGTCGTCGGACTTGGAGGTTGTGCTGGGTTTAGGGGCCGTGGGAGGTCGGATGCGGCCGAAGAAGTCGATGCCGGGTTTTTTCGTGCTGATGATGTGGGTGACGCGCAGGCCCATGAGGCGTAGTTTCATGTTTGGTATTTCGCTCATGAACTTCTCTAACATGGGGAGACTGTACTTGTATAAATCATCTGCTTTGTGGACGGCAAAGGGCGGCGTGATTTGACGCGTGTGCACTTCGTAGGTGTGCAGTTTGATCTTGATGCACAGGGTGCGGCCTTTGTATTCGGTGCGTTTAAGATCACCTTCTAGCTCTTCGGCAACATGGCGTAGCTTGCCTCGTAAGTCGTCAGGAGACTGTAGTTCCCGAAACGTGGTTTCGGTGCCTACACTCTTGCGGTGGGACTCGTCTGCTCGTTGAATCTTGGTGCGACCGAGGCCTAGATAGCATTGCATTAGGAACTGGAAGGCCTTTTGCCCAAACAATTTGGCCAAGTAGGCTCGATGCGCATAGATGTCTCCACATGTTTTCACGCCAATTGCATCTAGCTCTCGCTCAAAGACACGACCGATGCCGTTGACCTTGCGTGTAGGCATCGTCTTCATGAAATCCATGATGGTCTGTCTATCACTTGGGAGGTAGAACTGTCCATTTGGCTTGTTCTTATTTGAGCCAATTTTGGCGAGCTTCGCATTTGCTGCAATGCCTGCCGACACTGTGATTTTCGCTCTTTCGAATACGTCGGCCCGCAGCTGACTGACGACATCTTCTGGACTCATGTGGTGCTCTTTACAGTATTGTGTAAGATTCAAGTAGGCTTCGTCGCAACTTGCGCTTTCAAAGCCTGGATCGTAGCGTGCTAGTACTTCTCGTACTTCCTCTGCTTTAGCCATGTATTTTGCAACATTCATAGGTACGCAGATGAGCTGTGGGCAAAGCTTCATAGCCACAAAGCCAGCCATGCCTGAACGACAGCCAAACTTCCTCGCATGGTAGTTGCATGTCGTCAAGACACCTTTGCCAACGGCCATGGGCACCTCCTTTAGCTCAGGTCGGTCTAACTCTTCGACTGCCGCATAAAAAGCATCGCAATCCAGATGAACCACCACCTGAGACAGATCTCGGGTGAGTTCCAGCTCAGCAATGTAGTCGTCTGCTCGCCGCAGATCAGACGTCAGGTCCATCTTTTCCAACTCGCGTCTCTTGGCCAAGATTCTGTTGATCTTTTCCGAGAGGTTTTTATCCTTGGTCTCCTCGTTGTTGAAGAACTTGGAGCCCTTGGATGCATTGTAGATGATTTCAGAGACCTTTTGCTGGTCCACAGTGTCTTGACCAGCCTTGGTAAGCGAAGGACCCAGGAGATGGTACTTGAGCGAGTCGTGGTCATCTGATGCTGTTCCCGCAGATTGTGGACGCCCTGATGTGTTTGGTGGGTTTGTTGATGTGTTGGCGTTGGGGCATGTGGTGTCTTGCTGGACGTCGTCGGTGGAGTCGCTCATGGTGGACGATGAGCCCGCTGTGGGCGAGGCAGACGCGTCGGTGGGTCGAACAAGGGCATGCTGGGGTGGCTGATGGCCCAGGGGCTGCGTGAAAGTCGACGGTGAATGGGTATAGTCTCTAGCAGTGTCTCTCATAGCTCATAGCGTGTAGGAGGCCATGTCGAGCGACGAGCACGATGTTGTGCTGGAATCCGTGGTGGTTGATGGTGGTTGTGGTCCATGTAGACCTAGGCAGTTTAATGACGCGTTTTGCCGGGTTGGCCGTAGTGGGGTTAGCGTGCTGCCTCACACACACGCCTGGGCGTACTCCTGGGCACACACCAGGATGATCCAGGGACTTCCCAGCCTGTTCCCAATCTCACACCATAACAGACGACCAAGGCCCCTCGCACGACAATTCCGCCTCACCCTGCTCCTCTTCCTCTTCCTCTTCCTCTTCCACGTCCCCCTCATCCTCCCTCTCCATCACTGTCCATTGCCCAGCCATGGACGTGGCTCCCATTGTCCATACTCTCCTTGCGCCACCATTGTAGAGCGGGGCAGCTTCAACACGCGTCTGGCCGTGCCGAAACCGAAACCAGTCACCGCTTTCCGCCGCCCGCAACCTGCAGCTATCGTCAACACCGGCCCCTCGAGAGCCCCCCCTCCCCCTAGCAACCGAGCCATTGCCACACCTCACCGCTTGGCCATGAGTTCTCCGCGCATGCGCCGCCTCCACTGCACATAACACCCGCCCACGCTGGAGAGGATGCCCATCGACAGACCCAACCAGAACAATCCACGCCCACTGAAGCCCACGCTCGCTAGTAACCGCACCGCGAAGACACCATTGACCCCTCGCCTGGCAGTCGCCTCCTCTGCCTCGTCCACGGTCAGCTCTCAGAGCACCCGCACCGTCCGCAGCACCAATGCCGCCGCCCCGCGAGCCCCTGTTGCCACGCAGGACAGCGTCACGCCCGCCAAAGCATTCTTGAACAGCAACATCACCCCCCGCTCCTCGTCGAGAAAGTCACGGGTGGGCGTCGACATCACTTCGCCCAACGACTCCCCAAATGGCACACCAAGCAACTCTCGACCAACGTCGTCGATAGATACATACAAAGACCAGGGTGCAGGCCATCAGGGGCTTGTAGTTGGTGGAAACAGTGGAGCCCAACATGTAGCCCGACCACGCAGTATACCTGGGCAGCATGTCCTCTCGACACCAAGTCCACGACTTGCAGGTAACGGTTACAACCACACATCGTCCGAAGGCCTGGGTCGAGACACGTCGTCTTTATTCTTCCACGCCAATGACGCCAAACCGTCTGCCCCAGAGCCACAAGCGAACCAAAAGAAGACCCCCGTCTTCTTCTACGCAAATGGCGAACAGGACGAAGCACCGCGGAAGCAGAGTGCCTTGTCTCCACCGCTATCTTCGGTAGGAAGACCACAATCTGAAAGCAAATTCTTCCATGCCGACTCCTTAGTTGAGGCCAAGGACCGTCCGCCCATCCTTACTCCACCACCTAGGACAGCATCACCAGAGCTTTTGCCACCGCACAATGTTGCATCTGGTCCTCGTGCGCCATCGCCGACGAAAGAATGGTCGCACCTCTCCTACCGCAAAGGGGCGTCCCAGATCATTCGACCTACTTTGGTCACACGTAGCTCGGGGCTATCGAATTTGACCGGTCCTGGTACCTCAGATGTACCTGACAGAGCCCGACGGAGGTCCAGTGTTGCATCGACTGTGATAAGGCAAGGCCATCACAAAAGTGCCAGCTTGTCTTCAATCGAGGCTGTGACCGAGCTTAGAAAGCCCCCTCACGAACCGTCGATCATGACGCCCAGTCCACTGCACACCGAAAACCGCCAGTTCAGTAACGTCTCGATCCCAGAAAGCTTGGCTTCTGCCCCCTCGCCTCTAGTGAACTCGTTCTCTGGGTTACCGTCTCCAACACCACTCAGTCCCATAGGGCCTGAAGCTCAGAGTGTACTGGAGCACATGAATGAACTTGCGGCTCATGCTAGACGAGAGAGAAAGGTACTTGATCTCGAGATCAGTAACTCCTCGCTACTGGCCATAAACCGCTCACTAGAGAAAGAGGTCCGGAAGCAAAAGGCTGAGTTGAGACGCTTACGACGTATGAGCCGTGCTGGTCTTCCCTCGCTCGATGCAGTTGGCTCAGCCCTCGAAACATTTTCTGCCACGGCTGGCCACACAGCAGACCTTTCCGACATGTCTGAAGAGGAGGAAGAAGCTGAAGAGCCGGACGAAAGCAGTGATTCCTCCCCAGATGAGAGTACGGTTGATGCTGTTGTGCAATCAGAGCGTGAAGAGTCTCAACGGTTACGGGACGAGAAGCGCCTACAGCTGGATCTTTCAAAACATCAAGAGCTCCTCCTGGACAGTCAAAAGATGAACCAAAGCCTCAAGAAGTGCCTTGGCTGGACGGAACAGCTGATCAAGGATGGGCAGAAAGCACTCGACTACAAGGTGCACGCCAGCGATGTCAATCTAGGTGGACGGGTATTGATCCACGAGGATGACCAAGACGCCCCACCGCCTGGGGAGTCTAGAAGTCTTCTCAGTCCATGGAGTCCTCTCCACACCACTATGGACGCCTTGGACTCGCCCTTTTTCCCCCATGTCGATCGCCATGTCGATCGCGACAGCGGTGTAGACATCGATGTTCATGTGGCGTCCGAGACAGACCCTGATGGCGCACGTGCTCCCACCCCACCCAACGAAGGCAAGGACCCTGTCCCTGAGTTCCGCCCACGTGTGCCTGGCCGATGGGAGTCGTACAACGCCACCCTAGCCCCGAGTAACGAGCAAGATCAAGACAAGAGTCAAACCCTGCAGCCCATTATGGATGTCGCCCCGCTCGGATCGCCGTTTGAAGAGCGCATCCGCCACCTTCACGCCTCGATTGATGCGCTCGAGGCATCTTAGCCCAGTATTTTCAATGGCTTTGAGCATTTAGCGTGTGCTCCCAAATCTTTCATGTTGAATTCGACCCATTTTTTTTTCCTTTTCTTAACGGCGCTTCACCGGCTCGGCTCTTCTTTTATACTATGCGACTAGACAACTAGATCCCATTGTCCGTTGGGCCCTTTTAATTTGACCTGTCCCGACGCTATTATATACACGAGCATGAGTTAGTATCCCTATTCTTTCTTTGTTCTTTGCATTTTTGATTTTTTGCCTGGATTTTGAAACTCTGGCGCCCGAGTATACTATCTTCTGTCACCTATGGCCCGTTTCTTTGCCCTTGTCGCACTATGATAGAGGGTGCGCTTCCGTTGTTGGGATGCACAGGATGACAATGTGGAGTGTGAAAATTTGATAATTTTTTCTTGTGGATTTCTTGCGATTGCTTGCTTGCTTGCTTTGCCTGTTTTGCTTGCTTTGCTTGCTTTTACTTGTTATGGTGCACGTTTATTAAGATACCCCCCACCTCACCCCACACCTTCCAGCCTTGATTGCCTTTTTTGTTTTGGCCATCTTGGCTAGTTGGATTAGCTAGCTACCTAGTCAGTCAGCCAGTCAGCCAGCCATCCAGTCCGCGTCTGATAGTCGAGGTAGTTTAGAATCCAACCAAGTGTGTATGCATGTATCCGTATCTAGTCTATCCAGACTCATGGGCGTGATAGGGTGATCAAGGGCATGTCACAGTCGTCGTTTGGTCTACTATGCTTTGTCTCTGGGTTGCAGACTTGCAGGAATAAGGCACAGATTGCAGAGCCATTCATGGAAGGACATGATATCCAGCGCAACATAGTCTTCTTCTGTGATGTTCGGCGTAGATGTGATCCAATTCTTTACAGAGAAAAATGGTGTCTAGAGTGGGTGTATGGCAAGCTTGCAAGGCAAGAAACAAAACATGGGGGGGGTTTAAATCCATTTCCGCTAAGATAAAGGGTATATATATCGCCTAGACTCTTTGCGAAAAGCGCGCTGGCATACAAGCCTTCTTTTCTGCCTTCTAAAAAAAATCGGGGATTGGGGAGGGGGAGGTCCGATGTCGATGCAAACAGAATAGTGCGTGAAAGGAAGAAAAAAGAACATTTACAGTGACTGTAGAAAAGGACACCTGCAAAGGTGGTACAGTAGAACAAGGCTCTAGGCCCAGAAACCTAGGAGTGCCATTAACCCTACAAGATAGTTAGTAAGAAAGTAAATCCATTGTAGCGAGGGGATCAAAGAGTATACGTACCAGCACCGAGAACCATGAGGGTAAAAGCCTTGAGTGTCCTGCTAACAGGGCCTTTTTGCATATACGAACTGAACATGAATTCATGGGCCATGAGTTCAATCAGGCCCGTGTAGATGAGGATGCCAGCACTGATGGAGTCGAAGACGCCATTGACAAGGAGCGTGGTGCGTGACTCGGGCGCGAAGCTTTCTCGGACCCCGAGGCCAATGGCAATGGCAATGGGTGTGGAAATGCCGTATCCCATGGCCAGGAGATAAGGGGTCCAGCGTTTACTTGCAGGCCAGGGAACCTCTGCGAGACGGGCACCGAGACCAAGGCCCTCAAAGGTTTGATGGAAAACGAGTACAATGTAGAGTGTGATGAACTCTGCACCTGCGACGGCCAGGGTCAAGCCGACAAAGACCGAGTGGAAGATGACACCGAATTCGAGGATGAAGACGGAAGTGAGTTGGGCAGAGTAGGTCTCGGGTACGAAGCCACGGGTCTCCCAGTCGGAATCCACATCTGAGTTATCTACGTGGTCGCGTTGGTGGCCCAAGTGGTCTTCGCCACGAAGATGAGGGTTGGCGGTTGGAACGGCGGCCTCTGGATCCTGCGACTTGCGATTGCTCAGGTCGGTTGTGCTCTGGGTCCCGGCTGAGACAGCCTGGGTGTGGGGTGCTTCGAGCTTGTGCTCCTTGTGCTCCTGAGCATGGTCATTGCTGCTGCCGAAAGTTGCGTAGCGCATCGTCATGAGCTCGATGAAGAACATGACGAAGATAACCATGAGGGCAATGCCCTCGACCCAAGGGTAGGAAACGATGACACCAGTCAAGCAGGGGTTAGTCAAGGCCTCATTGGCAGGCGCGAGAAGGTGAATGAAGGCCGTCGAGACAATGACACCGGATCCAAAGTATTTGGCGACAAAGAAGGCCCATTGGGGTACATATCTCGAACGCATACGTTTGGCAAAGACTGGAAATACGGCACCTATGCATGTTAGAAGATGGGGATGTTTTGGAGTTCTACACACATACCCCACATGGAACCGATCAAAATGACGAATATGGAAGAGATCCTGATGCCCATGCGACCATCATACTCGTTTGCCGTCTCACATTCCACCACTGGCGGCTCACCAGCATCCTGGCGAAGCACAAGTCGTGCGGCGTTCAGGGCGACAGATTCCATCTTGCACACGGTGTGACAGTACCAAAGGGGTCCTGTGCAAAAGTCAAAAAACCCGATGTCTTGGTCTGGGTACTGCAATAGTAGTGAGCCCGTGTACAGATGAATAGGTAGCTAATATAAGAAAAGCTTGGTAGGAAGTATCCGGCTCGGCGGTTGGAGATCAGCTGCAGGTTAGAGTTTTGGTGGGATGAAGAGATATTATATTGAGGCAGTCAGATCACTACCTTGATGGACGGCCGAAGAAGAAAAGCTTGGTGGATCTTGTCAAGGCTTGACAGTGGGCTTGTCGAAAATCTTGCGGGTACCTTGATGGCGCGCTAAACAGTAGCGGGCGCTCGTTGCGTCGAATGAAACATGGTAGATGGCGTGAACACGGAGAGTGGTGTTTGTTCGCGGTGTAGCGTAGGATAGCGGAGGACCCTAATGAAGTGCGTGGTATGAATCAAGTGCCATGTCTTTGGCTTGTCGGCGCCGAGGAGATGGTGGTGGTGGGCATTGCTTGATGGGACGGATGCTGGAAGCGGTTACTGCATGTGCACCATGGGTGAAGGACTGGAACTGGATTAGGACTAGTTCGGAGAGTCGAGTAGTCGTCCAATCAGTAGCCTCTTCCGCGGGCAGCCGCGAACTGGTTAGCGCCATGGCTAGAGCCTCTTTCCTTTTTCCACTTTCCATTTTCTACTCGTCCCCGAGCTCTACAATCTCAACACTTTGCTACAATCATTTCATTCTTTCCCTTGGGCCCGCTTCGCCCTCTTCTCACGTCTCTTCTCAGGTCCATGGCCTGGTCAGATGGTTGCTGCCACCACAGCGACGCCAGGCATGACGACGGGCAAGATTTTCCGAGTGCGCGCACGCATGCATACAAATCCTTCCCCGATCCACCGTGAATCCACGCCTTGCCGTACCCAAACAACCACAGCATAGGCAGCGGATGAGTGAGTAGACTGTCTCCGACGACTTGGTTGCTGCTGGTGACAGCGTTGTTGCTGCGGCCAAATCGTCACCAGTAGCTTGCAAGAAGCCCAGCGCAACGCCCCGTCCGCATCCGGTGTGTCCGACGGGTGTAGCTCCGTAGGCGATCTGCGAGGAAGACGAGAACTTACTCGTCACTTGGCGATATTCTAGAGACATTCTCGAGGTAGGAACGAACGTGTCTCCTGTGGCCCATTCAGCAGCTCTTCATCCTACTTGATTAATGAACAAGACGACGACGACGACAACAACAACAACAAGGCCGTGTCACGACGGGTTTCCAGTGCGTGCCTGCCTTCCCTAGGGCAAGTGGGGGGAGCGGCTGCGGAGTGGGCTGCGCAAGGTGCGATGCTCACGTCGACATGTTTCAAGGTTTGGATCGGGGGCAGTGCACCTACCAACCACTCAGCAGAGTAGAGTAGCTGTTGGTTGCTGTCTCATAAGATATAGGATGACCCGGCCACTGGCGGTAAAAACAGGTTTGTGTGAGGCTGGGAGGGGGAGCTTGGAGCTCGATCCTCGTCGCATAACTCTACCATGTTACGTGTGGGGTACATCGAGCTGGCTTGGCTGTTGTGCATGGCATTCTTTGCTTTGCCCATGGCAAAAACAAGGCTGCACCGCGCTTTGCACTCCACACTCGAGCCCGAGCATGAACGGGCGCAATGCTGCTCCTCCAGCCACCGTGGTCGACACTGGACTGGACAGGTCTCGGAAAAAGTCTGGCCTGGCTGTTAGGCTGGTCTCCGCTGGCGATGAAGTTGGGAAGTCTGTAAGAGCTACTATGTGGGCGAGGCGTTGCCTGTCGAGTGTCCCGCAGCAGCAGCCAATCAAAGTATAGGGCCCGGGCCCACATGCGTGAGGAGTAACGACGATATGACGTCGAGACTTCCTTGTTTGTATAGCTTCCTGCCGCAGAGCTCTCAGGTGACGGTTGCCTACCAGCGTACTGCTTCTCTTTATAACCGCAGCCTCCGCTTTCTCTTCTGCTCGACATCTCCCCCTCCCCCTCTCCCGTAACCTCCCAAACCCTCAACAACATCAATCAACCACAGTCATGATTGTTGACCAATTCGAGGAAGTCCTGATGAAGACGTCACAGCTCTTCCCGCTGCCGACGGCCACCCAATCGGCCCAGCCTACCCATGTGGCGCCTGTGCCCACGGTCCTACCAGACACTCCCATCTACGAGACGGTCGGCGATTCCGGCAGCAAGACGCTCTGGGTGGTCTTCGTGCTCATGCTGATTGCCTCTGCTGCTTTCACTGCCTTGTCATGGAAGATCCCAGTTGTATGTCTTGCGTCTGTATCTCCATGATTCGGTCCATTGCTGACAGCAACAACAGAACAGGCGTTTGTACCATGTCATCACGACAATCATCACGTTGACTGCTGCTCTTTCTTACTTTGCCATGGCCACTGGCCACGGCGTTGCCCTCAACAAGATTGTCATTCGCACTCAGCATGACCATGTCCCCGACACGTACGAGACCGTATACCGCCAGGTCTACTATGCTCGTTACATTGACTGGGCCATCACCACTCCTCTTCTGCTCCTCGATCTTGGTCTCCTGGCTGGCATGTCCGGTGCCCACATCTTCATGGCCATTGTCGCTGATTTGATCATGGTCTTGACTGGTCTCTTCGCTGCCTTCGGTTCGGAGGGCACTCCCCAGAAGTGGGGCTGGTACACTATTGCCTGCATTGCCTACATCTTCGTTGTCTGGCACCTGGTCCTGAACGGAGGTGCCAACGCCAGGGTCAAGGGCGAGAAGCTCCGATCTTTCTTTGTTGCCATTGGTGCCTACACTCTGATTCTTTGGACCGCCTATCCCATGCAAGTATAATCTGCTCGGGACCTTGTCATGCCACGCTAATTGTTTTTAGTGTTTGGGGTCTAGCAGATGGTGCCCGCAAGATCGGTGTTGACGGTGAGATCATTGCCTACGCCGTTCTTGACGTCCTTGCCAAGGGTGTCTTTGGTGCATGGCTTCTAGTCACCCACGCCAATCTTCGTGAGAGCGATGTTGAGCTCAACGGCTTCTGGGCCAACGGCCTCAACCGTGAGGGTGCTATTCGCATTGGTGAGGATGACGGTGCTTAAAGGTCTCGTTTTATCGCCTACACGATACAACATGTCACACCGCCGCCGCCGCCACAAATTGTGCATTGTCAATGACGGTCCACCTTGATGACCAAGGGCCTGGACCAGTGTAATGACCAGGGCTTGGTGGGAACAGCGTTAGCATCCATGCTGACCTTCATATGTTCGGAAATTTTACAGTTTAGCCTCTCATCGCCGGAGTTGGGGCTCTACCATAGTTCATGGGATTGGACGACGTAGCTAGTACGCAATTAATAGGATAGCGATGATATTTACGTATTCTATTTTAGGATGAGTGCACCGAAGTGAGGCCCAGTTTACAGTAGGCGTTCCTTGGTCAGCTCTAGTGGTGCAGGGGGAGCCATGATAATACACCGAGTGCTTCCCTTGCGTATGGGCGCATAAATAGAAGGAAGCTACCTGGACATTTTACGAGGAGAAGCTTTCAGATCGTTGCTTGTCAGTTTTTCCCGCATTGCTTGGCTCAGATTGCTACCACGACTACTACCACTACCACTGCTACCACTACCACCAGAAATCATGGTTCGAACACTGGCTAGGATTGTGTTGGCAGTCTTCTCCGTGCAGCTGTACAGCACCCTGTACCCTCGTCGCTTGATTTCCACGGCTAACCAGACGACAGCTGGTGTAATCCGGTACAAGGAATGGTGAATAGAGGTCGAGCAGCACCGGGACAACCACCGCTAGATCTATCATTGGATGAGCCAACACCGGTACAGCGAGCACCGGACGGACCAACGCCGACGCCAACATGCACCCTCAAAATCTTTGAGTTCCCGCCTGTGCAAACAGAATGCACGTTTTACGAGAATACGGTGACGGCAACAAGCTACACCGAATGCCACGGCTGCGCGATACAGACAGTTGTGCTTGGACTCGGACTCGTGAGTGGAAACCTTCATTCCTGACTGCATTGGCGAGGTGGGTGACGATTCCATGCTAACCAAACGACTTCCCTCCAGCCCTGTCGCAAAATCGACTATCTGCCTGGGGATACGACGACGACGGTGACGCAGTGCTCAACCACCCCGTTGCCGAGCGGCGGGAACGTAGAGATGCCGTGGAAGTAGAGCAGGACCGATGGACGGGGGCGAATGATTGGTGTATCGAGAAAGTTTCGGGGGTATTTTTGTTTCACGGCGAGGCACAGTTGTTTATGCGGTGCGATTGAACGTAGTACAATGTATGCATACTTGATATCTGTTTACAAGGCCGGGCGGTTCTGGAAAAAGAGGGAGTGCTCGGTGTCTGTGCTAGGTGCTACCTTGTTCTTGAGTGCATCCATGAGGAATGGTGCAACACGTGAGTCTGTGTGACCAGGTACGAGTATACTCTAGAGTACTGTGGAAGTCGCTGCAGCACAGACGCAACAAAGGCCAACTGCAGAGGTACTCTAGCTGGTGATGTCAGGAATAGTAGGCGCAGCATGCTACGGCAACTTGGCAAGTCCTGGCAACGCCCTTTTGATTGCGCAGAAACCCATCATCCTGTTTTGCCCGTGAGACCAGAGAGCAAAAGGAAAAGAGGACAAGTGGACAGCGGCTGACATGGGCAAGGTGGGGGTTGCCATGCCAGTCTCGGCAGCCCCAGTCCGCAGGTGGTTAGTCACGCCGGGATCACAGGCTGGCCCCGCAACCAAGGATGCGCATCAGTGGATAGGCAGTCCCAAGTCACGCTTGACCCCTCCCCGTTCTCACCACCAACACCAACGCTCAAGAAATCTTGGTTCCGGTTAGTTGGACTAACACGACACTACTCCACAAGCTACCCGCTGAGCAAACCCCAAGCTCGAGCTTCCCTTTCCGCGGTTACTCTCTGCGTGCAAACAAACCACAAAACAACATCCAACATCCTATACAACCACTTACTTACCTTGCCCCGCCTTGCTGAACCCTCCAACCCACCAAAGCCATGACATCCGAATCCCCGCACTCCGCCGTCGTCGTCGACGAAACCCCCCTCTCACCCGTACGCTCCCTCGACCGCCGCAACAGCCTGGAAAAACATCTCCAGCACCGGCCAGAACCACAGGACCTAAAGAACCGTCACATCCTCCTAGACACCACCACAGCTCCGTACGTTGCAACCCCAACCCCCCCACCAAACCCCACCAAAAACTAACCCCCACCCCCAAACAGCGCCCTCCAAGCCAAAGCCCTCGAACTCGAACGCCAACGTGCAACCGACAATCTCAAGCGCGGCCTCAACGCCCGCCCGGACCGCGGCGACCTCGTCCAACGCAATATCCTGCCAGACTCGACGGCTGCGCCTGCACTGCAGGGACATCAGAAGGAGCTCGAGTTGCATATGCGGGCTGATAGCTTGGAGAAGGGGTTGCAGGCGCGTCCGAGTCCGGAGGAGTTGAGGAGGAAGGGGATTTTGGGGGCTGAGGAGGGGGTGTAGGGGGGAATTATGGATGGGGGGATTGGAAGGGAGGAGACGGTGTTTATTTGTTTTTGCCTTCGCTTTGCTGGTGGGGTGGAAGGGAGATAGAAATATAGGGATGGATGGATCTATATTTTTTTTTCCAAGGCTTTAAGCTCTCGTGACTGGGTTCGCTTGTGTTGGGCTCACAAGAGAAAAGGTGATTGTGAAGTCTTTGGGGGGTCGATTGACAGTCTCTCACGATAACATGCCTCGCTCTTGTTGCGTCCCCCAACTTGTATATCCTCGTCGCAACACGATTGGATAGTATGATTACAGCAGTGTCACCATCTCCCATCTCCATCTCCAAAGCAAGCGCGAAAATAACTCGAGAGGAAAAGCGCAAAAAGGAAGAAAGAAAGAAGAAGAAAAGAAGAAGAAGAAGAAGAAGAAGAAGAAGAAGAAGAAGAAGAAGGAGAAGAAGAAGAAGAAGAAGAAGGAGAAGAAGAAGAAGAAGAAGAAGAAGAAGAAGAAGAAGCACATCCCATCAACAATGTACAAAATCTCAAACATCAGCCCAGCCCGTACGGCCTCGGAAACACAAACACGCTTCTAGTCTCGTGGGAGAATAAGCAGGGAGGGGAGGGGAGGGGGAGTGGGGAGTTTATCACCCCGGGATGTATTGAGAGTATCCCAGTTACCATGTGATGGATTGGGTTGTACAAGGGTGAGGAGGGATGGAGAGGAAAGGGATGGAGAGGAAAGGAAAGGGAGAATGTGGGGTAGTTTAAGGTGGGAGAGGGGGAGAGGGGGGGGGGTATCTTGGAAGGAGAAGAAAAAGAGGAGGAAGAGGAAGGAAAAAACGCCTTGTGTACTGGGTGGGGAAGTTTGGTGGACACGAGCTTCCATGATTTCAAGGGCTGATTTTGGTTTGGAGGATTACTTGGAATGTCGTTGGCTTTTAGCCCTTTTACTCTGCTTCCCTACACTATCCTACCCTACCCTACCCTACCCTATCCCACTCGTCTCCTCCAGTTGCTAAACATGGATGCTGCGACTGCCCGAGCTACCGTCCTCCTCGAAGCTGTAATTGGGTGGACGGGAATGCCATGTTGGAACCACGTGCTCTCTCTTGAGAAAAAAAAACCCCCCGTTGCTCAAGGCCCAGCAAGATACCGTACAGAGTGTGTGTGCAAGATGAAAGACAAAAAGCACATATGCGGCCGTTAGGAAAAAAAAAACCCCCCGTGGTAGATGGAAAAAATGTAGCTGCGAACAGCTTGGCCGAAAGTGCTGGAAAACTGGGAATGAACAACCGGCAGCCCTTCAGTCAAATAAAACAAAACAAGAATAGTTTCTGGATCCAAAAGCAAGGGAAAACACACAGGGTGCAAGAGTGTTCAGGCCTCGATCTTCTTCTCACTCATTCCTTTTGGCCGGAAGACGGCGTCTTGGCCGGACATGCGTCTTGAGAGGGCGCGGTCGAGTTTAGCGCCGAGTGCCAGTTTGCTCATGTCGTCCGTCTTCTCGTTGGTGAGCATGTATCGTTGCTGGACGAGGCGCTTGTCTTCCAGGCGCTCGAAACCGGCGTTCCATGACTTGATGTCCTGGGCCTTGGGGTCGCCCGACGTCGACGAGGCTTCTGAGAGGTGCGAGGGGGCGACCGAGGGGGCGAGGGTGGGTGCAGCGCTGTAGGTGGAGAGGCGTGTAGAGGTGCGGTTGCCGGTGGACTGTGGGTGTGAGGTGTGGTTAGATTGTGGTTGCGCTTGTTTGTGGGCTTGTGGTTGCGACATGGTGGATGGCAAAGGAGAGAAAGAGGAGGAGGAAGGGTGGGGGGGGCGCAGTATTCTGCAGTGCAGTGTAGTGTAGGGGCGACTGGGTTTGGGGGAAATGGGAATGGGGGGAGCAGAGGGGATGATGTAGAGTAGAGTGCACTTTGTAGGAGCGCCGGGCCTGTCAAGCCTGGACGTGCCGCAGGGAAGGATGAAACAGACAGTGGATACGGGATATTGACTTACGCTGGCTAGCATGGGCCGCGACGACTCCAGAGAGTTGGTCATGGCAGGAACAGGCGGACGGCAAGAGGGAGGGAAGGGTACTAGAGTAGTGTAGAGTCGGATGGACTAGGCGCGTGGGGTAGTGCGGCGCTGGCGAGCTTTGTTGGGAGGGTGAGGGTGAGGGTGAGGGTGAGGGTGAGGGTGAGGGTGAGGGTGAGGGTCGCGGTGAGTGGCTGTCCCTGGGCTGGACTGGGAGACTGGCTGGCAGGCTATTGTGACGGGCGCAGAGGAGGGATGTAGGTTATAGTGTTGCAGGAGCGAGAACCGAGAAGCAAGAGCCTATATCAGCCGGAGTCACCGGGCTCGTCAAGGCAATGTCGACGACAGCAGTGCGTTCGTGGGCGTGCTGTGCGCAGCCGTCTGGCTCGCGCGCGTTTCAAAGGGCTTAGATCGGCAAGGGGGCAACGTGAGCAAGGCAAGATGCGGGTGCAGGGGGTGGGAGTGTGTGGGTGGGTGTCTGAGTGTGGCGTGTGTGTGTGTGTGTAAGAGCCAGGGGGTGGGCGGCAGGATATGTATTGCCGCCTTGCAAACGAGAGAATGGAGGACGGGTGGATGAATTTGAAATGGGCGACCGCTCTCTCTCTCTCTCTTGTACACAATAAACAAGTCGCATGGACTGAACAGCCAAAAAACAACAGCAGGGCCTGAAACGGGGGCCCATGTCCGTCGATGAAGCGAGCTCCATGCATTCTCCCTCTCAGACAGCAGCCAAGCTTCTTTTGTCCGTCCACATGCGCCCGCCGCCTCGCTGCCACGTGTGAGGCCCGTTTTCTCCACTCTATAGAGCCGACATCTCGGTCGCTCCCTGATTCATGTCTCTGCCCCCCTCCAAAAGCCCAGGCCAGCACCCAGGGCCAGCAGAGACACGAGCAACGAGTGTACCGCTACCAAAAGGCACGCACGCCGCACAAAGAATGCCTTGCATGGCTGTGAGACATCAGCCACCAAGCCATGGCCTTGCACAGTTGCAGAGCAACACACCATCTACCCTATCTTTGTGCCTGCCATGTCATATACTCATTTCTAACACACCATCTACCCCATCTTTGTGCCTGCCATGTCATATACTCATTTCTAACACACCATCTACCCCATCTTTGTGCCTGCCATGTCATATACTCATTTCTACATGGCACCATGTCTGTAGGATGGATTGAATCCGGCCAGCCAGAGTGTCTGCCCCAGGCACCATGGACGCCTGTTGGGCCTCCTTCTACCTTCTGTGCATATTCTCCCCTGCAGCACACTGACTACCTAGCTGTTTAGTCACTTGGCACCATCAAGGCAGATCCAATGCCATCCATCCTCTCATCGTACTTGTACATGAGTAGCCCTTACTAGCTCGGGCAATCAGCTCGCCACGGCGGAACCACAACCGCCCATCCTCACAACGCACGGCACAGGCGTAGTGCAACGGGCGGCTATCGCAATTCCAAACAGGTCCGCCTTTCGCTTCGCCTAGAGTAGCCATTCCCTCCCATTCACCAAAAAGACAGGACGTGGGAGTGAGTGTGCGCCACCAGAATCATGAAATCAAGTCGAGGTAGGTAAGCGGTGCTGGACAGTCTCGTTTCAAGCTTCTAGGAAGTGTTTTTTTTTTACTTTTATTTTATATTTTGCTTTCCTCTCTAGTGGTCACTCTGATAGTGGTTGTGTCGATTGGTCCTAGCATACAACCCAATAGCGCAGTTCCGGACCCTACTCCGCATCCTTCATACCCCATCATCCCATCACTCCATCATTCCACACCCACACACACACGCACAGGTTATCCCACATCGGTTATCCAAGGCACAAAGCATATCCATCACAGATGAGTACCGTATACACACTGTATACTTGCCATACCTCCACCATCCCCCAACAAAACCCCAATCAATCCCCATATTCTCCACCCTCAGCCTCCCACCACACAACCCCCATCCCCACCCCATCCACCCACTACCTACCTACCTACCTACCTACCTACCTACCCACACATCCACACATCCACAGCATACCACCTATTGCACACAAACCAGGCCACCCAGCAACCACAAACACACCCGTTCTCTTCTCACCTGCAGCTCGCTCCCGTCCGTGCATCCCACGTTGCCTTGCTGACCACACTGCACCGCACCCACGTGGCGGACGGGTGCGGATAACGCGCCAGGACCGTGCGGCCGAACTGAGCTTTTCCTTATTTGTACATGGGTATGGAAGGTAGTCTATCGCCCCGCCTTTCCCCTATCCCGGGGCTGGGGGGTGGGTTGGGAAGATGAGGGTGGTTTTGGTGAGGGGGTTGTGTTGGGTTGGGTTGTGGAGAGGAGAAGTGTTTTGTGTATGAACTGTGCGGTGAGGTTATGGTGGGTTTCGTGGTGGGAGGATGATGGTACGGTGCTTGTGCATGTGCATGTGCATGTGCATAGGTTTTGTACACCATCCACCCATACCATCTCTCCACACATATGATTTCCTCACATGCGAGTCGAATATGCAACAATGCCAGGCATCATTCATTCATTCATCCATCCATCTAATGAACAGAAACTCTCGTCCTGACAAAACTCGCAAAGCAGCAAAGAAGATCGTTGCAATCAGACACCATCCTACCCCCTACCCATGATACCTCACATCGGCATCGGCGCCCCCGGCAGCGCAGAAATCCACCCATCCAAATTCTCATTCACACTGCTCTTAACCGCGCACTTGTTCATCGCCGCAACCCCCTGACTCTTCAACGGCTTCCCATTCTCACACGCCTGAAACATGCAATTCGAATCCATGGCCCGCTGCAGCGCATCCCCCTTCCACCCAAACAAGTAGTCGGCGTGCGTGCCGTACCCCTTGTTGTCGTTGTAGCTGAGGAAGAAGGGGTTGGAGCCGTCTTTGGGCCAGAGGGAGGCGAATTGCGCAGTGTCCCATAGCGTTTCGTATGCTACTTGCGGCATGCGGATGGGGTGGGAGGAGGGGCAGGCGCCGGCGGGTGAGAAGGCTTCTTTGGCGGTGTTGTACATGTGGTCTTGGTGGTTGGGGGAGTCGACGTTTTTGCCGTCCCAGCAGCTGGGGGGGGTGGGGAGGAGGTGTTAATGCGGGGTGCCGGTGGTGGTGAAGAGGAAGGGGGGGATGGGGGAGACGACCTACGAGGGAAAGTGGTGGACGGTCATGATGCCGCCTTTGCATGGCTTCGTGGGGAAGTCGGGGAGTTCGGGAAACCGAGTGCCTTTGTCGGTCAGACAGACGTAGCGCAAGCCGATATGTTTCTTCGCGGCGTCTAGACTGTTGGTCGTGGGACTACCCACAGTCATGCGGAAACCCTGGGTAAAAAGTAAGTCCCAGATGGTACCCACGGTAAAGCATCAAGTGCATGCAGAGACGCACCTTGGGGAACGCCGTGATCTTCTGGTTTCCATTCGAGTTGAAGTCTTGCTGCGTGTAGTAAATGGTCATGCCACCATTGATACCATCTGGCAACGCCGTATTCTGCATAATCGGCACCCGCTTGTAAGACCCATTCTCATGCCTAAAGAACATGGCTGCCGTCCAGTAATTGCTACTCAGAGTCTCAGTACCCCCACTCGCATTCGACCCAACGAAAACAAAGCAATGCACATACCTAAGGTCTTCTGTAAAAGTGCACGTCGTACATGTCGCCACCTCACCGGGGTCCTTGTCCATGGTCGCGTTGAAGGCATTGCCCCCAACAATCTGATGCACATGGGCAGAAGGCAGTTTTCCCGGCTCGACAAGAGGGTCGAGACGCTGGATACTCAGCGTCGAGCATCCGAAGCGGAGCGCAGCCTGGACAGGCGCAATGAGCGCGGCGATCTGGTAAAACTTCATACCGGTCAGATTTAGATTCTAGTAATGGTGAGAATGCAAGGCAAAAGCCGTACGCAAAGGAGCGGCTCTGTCAACTTAAGCTCTTTTCCCACCTCACTTCGTCATGTCCGGTCATCACGTTGCCACCCCTGGGAAGTATGGTGTTGAGGGTTTGTGGTGTCGACACGCTATATGCATTTGATTAACTGGACACAGGAAAGGGCCAATGGCAACCCATCTCGCTATTGTCCCCCGCAATATTGACGAACCGATCTCATACTCATGTCCTAGTTTTGTAAGAGATCCAAGTGCCGGTACTGGCGTTTTGTCTGAGAAATGTCCGAGAATGCAGCGGTAGTTGCTTCTTCCAACCTACACCAAGGTTACCGTGCACTTGGATAGTTTGAACACCGGTCGCCCTCGGTCACCCACTCTCCGGCAAATGTAAACCCCCTCTCACAACGAAGAGCGTCATCAAGGTCGGCTGCTCCTATAGCAAAAGTCCAGTCAGGGCAGGTGCGAGACGATGATCCTCTGCCCTCGGTGGCATCAACGCGAACAGGAGAGTATACCATGATCTTGGCTCACGTCTTGGAAGAACAGCTCCTCGCAGGGTGGTTTGAGCTTGGCCCCTCGCATTCATCGGGATCGTCTGTCGTGGACTTTCCTCGTTGGTCCAAAGCGGCTGGTTTCACTGCCCAGACCCAGTTCCTGCTCTTCATAGCCCTCTCGTCAGGTAGCTACAGACACGTCGTACCGTATGACGTGTCGTACATGCGAATTTCTATTTTCCCAAACTCACAGTCGTTGACACTGTTCAACGCCATCTCACAGCCAAGCCCAACAGCCACATCCACACCCACACCAAAAGAACACTCGCATCAAAACCACAACCTGCCAAATTATACCCTGCCTACCAACACAACCTGCCAAATTATACCCTGCCTACCAATCCACACCCTCCTACTCCCACCAGAACATTGCCCTTGGCCATACTTCCACATCCACACCCAAACGCCAGCGTGCCCAGGGTCGCCACACATGATCCCCACCCACACTGCACGCCATTCGCGCTAACCGCACCCCCTTCAAGCCACAGCAGCCTTATTTCCGACAAGAGAGGAGGGGCACCCCAACGCGAACGACGTTCGCTGACTTCGACGGCTTGGCAAACAGATGTGCGGGGAACCTTCCTACTCTGGATATTTGCGATTGTCTGGGGGGGGGGTTTGTTTTTGTTGGGGCTAGCACGGTTTGAGATGGGGTGGTGGGGACTGGGTGGTTGGGTATGGGGGATGGGGAGGGATGATGGGGAAGGGGGGTTTTTTTTTCTGGGGGAGGGGGTTTCATTGTGACTTGTTTGTTGTGATTCTTTTCTTTCTTTTCTTGGTGGTGAGATTGTGAACGGCTAGGTTGCACAGGTGCGAAAAGTGGCAAGATGTTTCATGTGGGCTAGGAAATGACGCAAAGCTGAATTAGATTCTACCAAGGATATCGACTAGATGAATGATGATTCAATAAACTCAATCCATGCTAGGCTCGCTCGCTTTTCTCGAATAGATAGAAAAAGACTCAAATGCCATATCTAGACCCTCTGTTGGAAACCCTAGAATATCTCATCCCCTGCCCTGCAACACTGTGATTCACCGTCGCTGCATCTGGATGTTTCAAAAAAGGCCTTGTCGTGTGTTGTGTGTGTGTGGTCATCTGCTCATTATTCTTTTCATTTAGTTATCGGTACCAGGGCTCGACTAGTCGTTGGCTGCAATACAAGCGCTAAAGAGCGTCCTAATACTAATAGGCGTTCTGTGGTACTTGATAGCCACCCATCTGTGCCTGTTGTGCCTGAGCCTGCGCCTGCGCCTGGAGCTGCGCAAGCTCTTGCTGTCGTTGGGGCAGGTCGTTGAACCAGGGATGCTGGAGAGCGTTCGCAGCTGATATGCGCATTTCTGGCCGAAGCTGCAACATACTGTTGAGCAAGTTGAGGCCTACCTGGTCGACTTGTGGGAGGATCAAGCGGAGATCCTGGGTAGAGTAGACGGGAAAGTTGTTCTTGTACTCTGGCAGCTGCGAGATACCAGGCCATGAGCGTTCTGATGGTGTGCCCATGAGCCTGAAGATCTTTTGTACCTGGTCCTCGTTTGTTGTGCCGGGAAAGAGGGGTCGTCCCGTGTACATCTCTGCCATGATGCAGCCGGCCGACCAAATGTCGATGCTGGTGTTGTAGGTCCTACTACCTAGGAGGACGTCTGGGGCACGATACCACAGGGTGACGACTTCATTCGAAAAGGTATTGACTGGAATGCCAAAAGCGCGTGCCAGACCGAAATCAGCCAGTTTCAGTTGACCACGGTTATTGATGAGCAGGTTCTGGGGCTTCAAATCTCGGTGGAGGACTCGTGCTTCGTGGCAGAATGCAGTACCCTTCATGAGCTGGTACATGAACGATTTGATCGTGGCAGGGTCCAGGGCGCCTCGGTCGCCACGAGAGTCCATGTACCGCTTCAGGTCCTTGTCCATGTATTCGAACACGAGCATGAGCTTGTTCTCGGTGTGTATGACATCATGCAGCAAGACGATGTTCTCGTGACGAAGTTCCTTCATAAGAGAGATCTCACGGATGGCAGTGGACGGCGTGCCCTCTTCCGAGTCGAGGTGGATTTCCTTCAGGGCTACCAGCTCTCCTGTCTGCCGATTGCGGCCTTTGAAAACCTGCCGAGTTTAGCATGCTATCATCGCAGGCGTGGTCTTGTCATGGCGAAGGGGGGACATACAGTGGCATAGGTGCCCTCTCCAAGCTTCTCCAGCTGCTGGAAGGAGCTGGGATGCCTGCGGTTGTCCATGGTCGGCACAATAGGCGCCGTGGAGCCGTCGGCGAGATTGCGCACGCTGATAGACGAGTCGGTGCGGTTGGGGATGGCGAGGGTGCCTGCGTGGACTGGCTTGAGGCGGCCCGGGGGCGCTCGCGAGGTGTACTTGGGGTCCCAGAGGATGGCTGACGCGGTGGTGAGCTGGCGGGCGATGCGTAGTGGGGAGGTAGTGCGCGATGTGTCGGGGGCGGTGGCCGAGGACGCCGTTTTGGAGATGGTGAAAGGGTGAGAGTAGTAGGTAGGGTGGGGAGCAAGGGTTGTCGGTGTCGTTGAAATATATGGGGGGGGGAGGGGGGCAGTTTCGATAGCAGCAGTGGGAACAGATCGTCGTCGGCGCCTGTCGATGCTGCTGAACGGTTACACGAGTCGATAGGAGTGGTCTTTGGTGGGGCAAAGGCCGAGGCCAAATCAATTCCATCCATCCACCACAAGCCCCTGCTGCCTCTTGCCTTTGCCCTCGCGCTACGTCTGCTCCTCCTGGCCAGTCATTCATCCATCCATCACTGACATCCGACATTGACATCTGACATTGACAGGTGCTCATCTACTCTAGAACACGGTACGTATTCCGAGAATTGAAAAAAAAAAAGAAAGGAGGCGAGGCTTGCATATCTGTCGCGGGAGGGCGCAGTTCATATGACCATGGAATTAGCGCTGCGTGAACTCGTATTTGGCATGGGGTTAGGCCATGCTAAGCTCTACTAGCTAGCTAAGTAAGGTTAACTAAATATTATACTATAAGATTTTATAATATATTCTAAACCTATTCTAAATATATTCTATACTAATAATACTATAAGCTACTACTACTATACCTATTATTAATATATCCCTTATATCCTATATAAGTAGATTAAAACATGTTTAGAATATATTCTTAATAGGTTATAGAAGTACTATTAATAGTACCTTACCCTTAGCTATATTCTAGATAATATTAGGGTATAGCCTATAGTTAGCCCTAATAGGGTAGTTAAGATAAAGAGTAAAGAGCGCTACTACTATACTAAGATTAATAATAAGGGCACCTTATATAGAGTAAGAATAGGTTCTAAATATATTCTAAATAGGTTCTAATATTCTTAGACTATTCTAGGTACTAGGGGCACTTTATATACCTATGCTAAAAAAGATTATAGGCTTAATATAGCCTACTATAAGGTTAGTAGGGTTAAGAAGACTAGCTAGCCCTCTATAAGGGAGGTCTATAAGGTAAAGAGTAAATATATTATTAACCTATTCTTAACTTATTATACTAATATATATAGACTTCTATATAAAGGTTATATATAATTACTAGAACACTCCTTACTATAAGTTATTTAGAATATATTTAAAACTTATTACTAATATATTTTATAGAAGTTCTCTAAGCCTAGCTAGTAGCTACTATAGGCCCCCCTATAAATACTAATACCCTCCTAAATATAATTTAGAAGAAGACTTATACTAGCTATAATAGTAATAAGGTATAGCTTATAAGAACCTATTAAAAATATATTACTAACTTATTATAGCTTAACTTTATTACTATATCTACCCTACTAAGGATTTAAGGTTATTAGGTTCCTTATACTATCTATACTTATAATTATCCTAGCTATAGTAAGTTATTTATAATATATTATTAACCTATTCTTAACGTATTTTAAGACTATTACTTTAATACTAGTATAGACCTTGCTAATTCCTGCTAGAATACTACCTAGTTCTACTTATAGTATGCTTTTATAGAGCCTAGGGAGGATAGGGAGGATAGAGAAGATACTAGAGAGGGGGAGAGAGATAATAATAGTAATAAGTAGGAACATATTAAGAATATATTAAGAATAGGTTCTAATAAATAATATATAATAGTATATAACCTAAAGGGGTAATAGTAATTACTAAAATAAACTCTCTACTCTTCTCTTTTTTTTCTATCTACTAAAAGTAAAGTACTATTTACTTTTATAGGGTCCTTTAATACTATATAACTTTTTCTTTTTACTTTTATAGGTATTATAAAGCTCTAGTAGTCTCTTAGATTAAAGAAGAATCTAGTATTTATAGGTGTCTAGCTATAATATATTATTAATATATTCTAAATATATTTTAAGAGACTAGACTTATATCTTCTTTTTACTACTTTTACTAAATATTATTTATAGTATAAAGGGGAGCAACTATTTGCTCCTCTTCTTTACTCTCTACTTCCTTTTTAGCCTCTACTCTAGCTACTACTTCTTATTATAGACTAGCTATCTTAGAGGGTTCTTAAACCTTAGAGGAGGCACTTAGTATAGTCTACTCTACTAGTAGAGAATGTATTATTAATATATTTAGAACACGTTCTTAAGTATTTACTATTAAGCTCCTATAGAAGATCCTTGCTTCTATAATACCTTATATTATAATTCTACTATAGTTTACTAGGGCTATTTAAACCTTAGGATAATACCTCTTAAGGTAGTAGATAAGATTACCTCTATTAGAGAAGCAATACTAAAATAGTTATTAATATATTATAAACATGTTCTAACTTATATATATATATACTCTATAAAGTTCCTATACCCCTAATCTAGCCTAAATAGCCTAGTAGAAAAGCTTGCTAGGAAATACTATACACCTATTATTTAGGTAGGATATTATAGGAGAGAATACCCTAGTATTAGATAGAAGTGACTTAAGCTTAATATATTACTAGTATAAATCCTACTTAGTATTAGAACAAGTTTATAATATATTTCTAATATATTCTATTATATACTAACTTTAAAAGATCTTTATAGACTATATTAACTAGTTATATCTAATAATATTAGGAAAGATAGATAGTAAAATAGTATTAAACTCTTAAATATAAAAAGTTCTTATAGAGTGTAAGAAGAAAGAAGAAGAAAGAATATATATTTATCTACTTATATATACTTATATAATAGACTAGAATATATTAAGAACTAGTTAGGAACTAGTTACTATATTTATAGACTAACCCTACCTTATATAAAAAGTAGCTATCTCTTTCTTAAGTTTAAACTATACCTTTTATAATTTAAATAGTGCCTTTTTCTATATAAGTTCTTCCTTATCTACCTTTAGCTTTTCTTTTCTCTTCTTTAAAGCCTAATTACTAAGAAGAGCCTTTTATTATAAAGTTTATAGTTATAGACTAATAATAAGTTAGGAACGTGTTATAAATGTATTTTATAAAGCATACCTTTAGGTTACTATTAGTAAAGGAGAAGAGCCTAGTAGTAAAGAAGATAGAAAAGGGGCTAGTAAACTTCTTTCTAATACTACTCTACTACTTGCCCTCTAGCTTTAGGCTTTTAAGCGTGCTCTTTTATTTCTTATTAGGACTAAGATATATCTAGTTAAGTTAGATATAGTAAGACTTGCTTTATTATTATCTAGAGTATTATTATTATTATAGGACGTATTCTAAATATATTCTAAATATATTTTAATTAGTAAATATATATAATACTAGCGTAAGACTTACTTTCTCCCCTCTAAAGCTTTTTAAGGTACCTTTGCTTAAGCCTATTAGGAGTTCTATAGTTATAGCATATTCTAAACTTGCTCTAGGCTTTAAACTCTTTTATATCCTATAGATCTATCTAGTATGCACTATATAATATTACTTATATAATTCTAATAGGTTAAGAATAGGTTATAAACTTACTTCTAAGTAGCCTTAAGAATACTTACATGCTTACTAGTTTTATATCCTTTCTAGCCTACTTGCTTAGCTATATTTAAATAAGATTCTAGTTTTTCCTATACCTCTTTTAATATTTTACTATAGTATTATATAATCCTAGTAGTAATTACTAGGTTTTTCTTATAGATTGCCTAGTTTTAGGCATCTTTAGAGGGTTTGTGTTCTAATTATATAAGAACAAGTTAGGAACACGTTTAGAATAGGTTTAGAATATATTTACTTATATAAAAGGAGGTTAGCAAGCTAAAAGTATTCCTCTACTATTAATACCTATAGTAATTTACTTAGACGTAAAGAGGTAGTATTATCTAGCTCTCTTTTATATACTTTATAAATACTTCTTTATAGATATACTTAACAAAATCTTATACAAGATTAAAGTTGCTAGTGCTAGTTACGCTTATAGGGATTAATTAACTAGAGATAGCGCCTAAGTCCTAGAAACAAGTTAGAAACACGTTACAAATAGGTTACAGTGCGCTATAAAACTTGCCTATTATCTGCTTATTATATATATTAATAGTAGTCCTATAGAATCCCTATAAGTAAATATACCTCTATAACACTTATCTTTTTATAAGTGCTTTACACTTCTAAAAGAAGTTAGTAATAGCAACTTAATATATCTTAGTTATATCCTTATCTATAATAATTTAGCTAAGTGTAATAACTATAACGTGTTAGAAACATGTTATAAACCTGTTCTTAATAGGTACGCTTCTTTTCCTATAGGTAGAAGATTACTATTAGAATCTCTGCCTATGCCCTATATAACCTCTTATATAATATATCTATCTAGAACGTGTCTTAATCTAATAGAATTAATACCTACTCTTTAAAAAAGTAAATAATTAAGTTACCTAAGCTTAATATAAAGATTTGCTATATATACGCCTATAGTAACATGTTAGCAACGTGTTCTAAACCTGTTCTCTTACACCACGTATAGTTTTAGGATTCTAATACTTTATCCTCTACTTATAGTGTACTCCTCTAAGGCTACTCTTAAATAGGAACTATAGAAGCTTTTTACACTTTATAATATATAAGATTTTATCTTTATTTATAAAGCTAATATATATTTCTTTAATAGAATAGAAACCTTTAAGTTAGAGATAGGTTTAGAGCTAGGTTAAGTTTAGGAACTAGGCTATAATAAGCTAGGAATGTATTTATAACAGGTTATAAACAACTTATATTATATAAGCTATAGAGTAAGCATAGGCTATAATACCTTTACTACTTCCTTAATATTACTATTAGATAGTGTTAAGGGAGGAGGAGGTATATATATATATACTAAAAGAAATAATAGTAAAAAAAGGTATTACTACTATATCTATTAGTATAATTACTTAGAAGGTAACTTTATATAGGATTTTAAATAGAGATCCTTACCCTTATAGATAATTAATACCTAGAACATGTTAGGAACGTGTTAGGAATAGGTTGCAATATGCCTACCACACTTCTTTATCTAGCTTAACTATAGCTCTACTATAGAATATAAAGCAGGACTACTAGAAAGATTTAATATCTCCCTAGTTAGAAGACCTTATAGATATATAGAGTCTACCTCTAGTAGTACCTAACTAAAATAATATTTTTTCCTAGTAGTAGATATTAGGCTATAGTTCTAATAGCTAATATATAGTTAAGCCTATTCTATAATTTACTAACTTATTATTAATATATTTTAAACATGTTTAAGTTTTGCTCCCTACCTAATTTACTATAGTCCTTATTATAGGATAATAAGACACCTAGTAGTCCTTATAAATCCTTAAAGAGAAGCGCTTAATAAGGCTATAATAATAGCTTCTTATTTGTAGTTCTCTTTATAGAATTTTCTTAGGTACTATACTTTTTAAGGTTTAGATCTAATTATATAATATATTATTAATAATATAATAAGAATATATTTATAACGTGTTCTTAAGATACTTACACGCTTTTACCCTAGAGTATTAGTATTTATACTAGCTTGCTAGCTAGCTATTAAAAAATAGTAAAGTTATAGGCCTATTAAGATAGATAGACTAGTAGGAGTATTATACCTGCTAGAATTAGAATAATTTAAGAATATATTCTTAACGTGTTACCTATATAGCCTATATAAGCACCTCTTCTCTTATTAGGTAAGAGCTATCTTTATATTACTAAACTAGTATTATATACCTATACCCTTAGCTATATAATTAAGGGTATACTAGGAGAATAGCTACATGCTTAATAATTGCTAGTATAAGTAGTAGTTCTTAACTATTACTATAAGTAAGGTATATATTATGCCCCTATAACGTGTTACTAACCTATTCTAAACTTGTTCTATTTACTTTTACTTACTTCCTTAACACTACTACTACTATCCTCCTCTAGTACTTTACATAGTTACCTAAATTTATCTCTAATATTACTATCTAGTTTAGATATATTATCTAGTACTACTATACTAAACTCTAGTATAGTATTTAGGAACGCCTATATATTATTAAGAATAGGTTTAGAACATGTTTAAAAAAGATAGTAATAAAAACTATATTTACTTGCTTAAATTACCCTAATTTATACTTAACTATAGGCTAGTTTATATAACTATAAAAATTTGCCGCTGTGACGTGGACTTGAACCTACAGGGATATTCTAACCACTCGGAGTAAAGCCCAAGTCGCCCGACGCTAAATCCATGGTCATATGACATGCCACCACTCTGTCGCGGTGTTACCTCATAGCCACTGCTTGTACCCATGAGAGCTGGAAAACATGGATATGATGCATCTTGGATTTTCTCCCTTCAACTTTTATAGAGCACACTGAGTACATGCTAACGTACTCTGCAGACTCACGATGTAAATCATCTCACCCAGACATCTTGTCCTGCACCCACTTAGGCACCACAGGCCTCTTCTCCCATCCATTCTTCCACGACTCCTTCCAACCCTCTGCACTAGCCGGTAGAGCGAAGACAGCAGTCACAAACCATGCAGTCTCGCCTGCCTTGATGTCCTTTTGTACAATAGGCAGCACTGTCCTTGCCTCCACCAAATTCGAATTCGCGTCTGACAGTATGACACTACCCGTACGATCCGTCTGATGTATATCCGCAATACCAACAGCTCCTGTGCGCGGTGATGCTGCAAATGCACTTGTTTCGTCTCCTTTCCCGCCTTCTGGAATCGATTCGTCAAGCGTGCGAAGGGTACCGTTCCACTCGGTAAGCAGACGACCGTCGGATTCGCGTGCACCATACACAGCCCATGCACCTTCTGCCGTTTTGACATCTCGTCCAGTCGTGATGCGATGCACACGCAGATGCCAGTTTGGTGTATCTTCTACTGGTGGGATCAGGTAGGTCAGAACTTCTACATCGTGCCATGGCTTCATACTAGACACCAACACCGGTACGCCATCGTGATTCTCAATCTCAGAGTCTCCATTAAGGGCCCGACGCATTTTCCATAGCTCGCCGCCGTCATCGGATAGCGCGAGCGAAGACTCGGGAACGAACTGCTCAAGTTCCTGATAACCAGTGGAAACCGAGTATGCAAAGGCGGCGCTGTAGGCAAACTTGCCATATTTGGCGTTGGAATTTTTGATCGCGTAGTGACATGATTGTCCGCTGGAAAGAAGGAATGTATGGCCACCACTACGGATGACGATTTGGCGTGGATGAGGTAGAGATCGCACGACTCGTTGATTGGCATATGGATGCGGCTCTTCCTTCGCACTCCAGAAGGGATGGCTCTCTGGCACAGCAAGCGCAGCAAAGGCGAGCATACACCAATATGGCGATTGCGGCGAGTTGTAATTTTCAGCCAAATAGTAATTGGGGTAGGAGTATCCCACTGTAAGCATACCGTTGGACTGGAAAATGTCCTTCTGGGTGGTCCACCAACGCAGGTTGCGTAGCCATATACCTTTGACAACTCCCCAGGACAGCGGTTCAGGGAGCTCGACATCTGCAAAGGCCACTGCACCCCAAAATGCCACCATGGCCCATCGGTAGGTCAACGACCTCCCAAATGTAATCGCTCGACCTTCTGGGTCGAAGTAATGCACAAAGTCTTGGGCGTACATCTGTGCGCGCTTGCGGTACTCTGCAGCTTGCTCAGGGTCGATGTCCGCCGCCAATTTCGAATACAGCAGTTGGAGATACTGTATCGCAAATGAACCTGAGTAGTAATCCATTTGACGGTATGAATCTGGGCCATCATTCGACCATCCATCGCCACGGTAGTACGAGTTCAGCTGCTTAATGTCCTTTTCAAGTTGCTGCTTCGACCAATGTGCACCATTCCTCTCGAGCCCAAGGTTGGCGAAGACGCGGAACCATAGCCTGCCAGAAACTTAATATCCTGTTCGGCCCCTCGTTCGCGAAAAAGTTGCACAAACGAGCAATTCAAGTGGGAAGATCGTACCAGTTGGTGTCGGGCATTCTCTTGTCATTCATACTGCCCAGCCAAGTCTCAACATTTTTCTTTTGTCTGTCAGTCAAGGGGTCCCAAAAGTTCTTATTTGCTACCGCAAGCGTGAAACCAATGGGACACGCTTCGACCATGCGCTGGTCTGTATCCTCCATGTAGCCCCAGAACTCTGGGCTCTCTGGATCTGTGCCAGAAATTAAGCCTTGTACAAACTTATCTGTTGCGTTGTACTTGCTGCCGCCGGCTAGTAGAGGTGCGAGACCCCATAGCGGGCGTGCAAAGCCTTCGACTTGGGCCCCAGTCTCATCGAATCTTGTACCAGTGCTTCCGACTTTGATCAGAGCATTTCCCGGCGAGAAGCCTGGAATAAGAGGGTCAAGGAGAGATGCTACAGCGGCAACAACGTCGTCTCGCGACTTGAGCGGATTCGTGGAGAAAGGATGGAGAGCAAAGGCCCGATTTGCGTTCGCTGTCGTGGCTGTCATCCTTCCAATGCCGATTTCCACTTAGGCAATATTTGCTTTCACAGATGATGATCTGTAATTCGAATGAGACGTCGCAACAACAATCAACGGGGTTTCCGTCCGATATCTCCGCTGTGTGAAGGTGGTATTGATTGGCGATCCAGTGACGCTCGTGGTAAGCTCAGCCGAGTGCCCAGCAAAGTCCAAGACGGGAGATTTAGTGCACATCGGCTCCGGGGTCGATGAAGCGAAAAGGCTTGATTCGGATGAGCTTTTACGGCGCAGTTGTGGTCAAAAGTCTTGGTCCTCCACTCTTCATCACTTCATATGTAGTGCGATGTCGGTCCTTTATATGTTGCTCCGCTTTTGAGGCGATTGGGCATGTGGGGAAGTGGGTGTATGGCGATCGTGAGATTTGCCACTAGGAAGTCGTCAAGTTTCAGACATTGTCTTTTGCCTGATATCAGGGATTCCACAATGGTACTCATCCAGCACCGCCAAAGACATCAAATAGCAGTTCGCATGTGAACCCAGTGACTCCACCACAATGATTTTCGACCCATCAAAGCAGTGGCTTGCCTGTGGGGCCTCCCTCGCGCTGACAGGCTCTTCCCCCCATACGCGGATAAATGCATAAACAACCGTAGCTTTGCATGCTGGGCGAGGATTCATTATCCCATTCTCGATACGGATAGGCTCGCCGTTTGCTCTCCAGCTGACACAATTGGTGGTGGCGGGGATGCCCCAGATGCAAGAAAGGCATGTTAACCAGCTAGTGCATAATGAGCCCGAAGCGGCACGCATTGTTTCGACTGGACGGAAGAAGTGAGCATGCTTGGCGATTCCAAGACGGATTGTCGACACTCCACTAATTACAACACCGGATGAGCGCCGTGCCATGGCCTCTGACCTCTTCTAGAAATCGAGGCGCAAGAACACCCTAGCTCCCCATTCGACGGAACAACGACAACTTGCTGATGTGACCAGTTAGCAACTCCAAAAATTGGAATATGGCTGGTCATTTCAAGGTCGCTGAGATGGCGGGTATTGGCGATGCATCAGTCTGGGGTCTGGTCTGGGGTAAGACGACTGGAGGCAAAGCCCGCGGCGTTGGTTACCCCGTCTTGACAGGGAGGCTAGGATCGTCAGATTACGCTCGGGCCGCTGCAATGTGCTGGTATATAGATATGTAGTACCTGCACGGGGGAACTTCAATCAATCTGCGGAGGCACCTTCAACTTTCAATCTGCAAGTCGGGATTTCGGTCAACGGAAGATTCCCGAGTTGGTTGGAAACTGTTATCAGCAGGTCTTGACACTCATTCAACTTTTTCGTCGTTGAACGGGCGAAAGGTTTGCGGTTGGTATGTCATGTATCAGCACTGATCTGTGTTGATCTATTTTAACGTTCGGCCAGATCTACAATCACTTCGCACAATACTTCGGTTCTCCACGCGGCCAGATCCCCCAGAAATCTGCAATCATGACGGGCCGTCCATCTTTGGGTGCGAGGTTCATCCAAGCCATCGTCAAGAACGACTCCATCAAGACCGATCCTCCTGAGATTTACGGATGGCGTGCGTTCGCCATGGCAGGCTCTGCCTGCTTCGGTGGTATGTTGTTCGGATTTGATATTGGTACCATTGGTGGTGTCCTCGAGCTGGTAGAGTTCCAGCACAAGTACGACATCTACGACCTCGACAAGGTCGGAAAGGCCAACTTGAACGCCAACATTGCCTCTACTCTCCAAGCTGGTTGCTTCGTCGGTTGCTTCATTGCCTCCTGGGGGGCTGAGAAGTGGGGTCGCAAGCTCGCTCTGCAAATGTCTGGTCTCGTCACTATCGTCGGCTGCATCATGCAGGCCGTTGCCTCTGGGTCCATCGAAGCCATGTATGTTGGTCGTCTGATCGCTGGTCTCGGTGTCGGTGGTGCCTCCATGGTTGTCCCTCTCTACATTTCCGAAAACTCGCCGCGTGGTATTCGTGGTGGTCTCACCGGTCTCTACCAACTCTTCATCGCCACTGGAACTGCTCTTGCTTTCTGGGTTAATTACGGATCTCTCATGCACCTCAGTGGCAGCGCCACAGTCTATATTGTTCCTCTTGCTCTTCAAGCTCTGCCTGCTGTCCTCCTCGTAGGCTGCATGGCCCTCAACAAGGAGTCACCCCGTTTCCTAGCCAAGCAAGACCGCTGGGAACAAGCCACAAGTGTCCTCGCACGTGTCCGTAACCTCCCCAGCTCCCACCCATACGTTCAGGAAGAGCTCAAGGATATCGCCGATCAACTCGAGCACGAGCGCATGCTCATTGCTGGTTCCAGCATCACGGATCTGCTCAAGGAGATGTTCACCATCCCTGGTAACCGCAAGCGTGCTCTCATCTCCATCGTACTCATGATCTGTCAACAGATGACCGGCACAAATGCCATCAACTACTATGCTCCTCAAATTTTCAAGGCACTCGGACTCCAGGGCAACTCGGTCAAGCTGTTCGCCACTGGAATTTACGGCATTGTAAAGATGGTCGGATGCTTCTGCTTCTTGATCTTCGCCGCTGACTCACTTGGTCGTCGTCGCTCGCTTCTCTGGACCTCGATTGCTCAGTTCCTTGCCATGTTCTACATTGGTCTCTACATGCGCATCGATCCCCCTGTTGCAAACGCTCCGGTGCCACCAGCTGGTTACTTTGCTCTCGTCTGTGTCTTCTTGTTCGCTCTCTTCTTCCAGTTCGGTTGGGGTCCTGTGTGCTGGATCTACGTCTCTGAGATCCCAGCTGCCCGTCTTCGTTCGCTCAACGTCGCTATCGCGTATGTATCTTCCGTGTCCTCGATTTACACTCGACTAATATCATTACAGTGCTAGCACTCAGTGGCTGTTCAACTTCGTGGTTGCTCGGGCTACACCAAACATGATGGCCACAGTGGGTGAAGGAGGTTACGGGTAAGAAGAAACCTTGAGAAATTGGCCCATGCCCCCAACTAACACCACTCTCACAGAACCTTCCTCATTTACGGCTCCTTCTGCTTCCTCATGTTCATCTTCGTCTGGTTCTTCGTTCCCGAGACAAAGGGTCTCTCACTCGAGAAGATGGACGACCTCTTCGGCATCACCGAGCTTGTCAAGAACATTGAAGCCGACCGCGAAGCCAACCACCGCGGAGACTCCACCGAGCTTGATATGGATGGCAAGAACGCAGTCCGCGAGGAGCGCAAGGAGCTTTCCAACTAAAGTGCCTCGACCGCTGTGTAGGAATCAGGTGGGGTTGCTGGAATTGATAGAGTGATACCTAGGTATTCATACCTTTTTGATCTATTCGTTTGTTCAAAGATTAGTATGGTGCTTTAATGAAGTTATGAGCTTCGTGCCGCTCTTTGCACTGTCCTTGGTCTATGGCTATACGCTTGTGCTGTGAACGCAATGTGCGAGCGCACATGCACTGCTAAGAGGGTGGGCACTTAAGAACCCCAAAACATGCGCCATTGTTATCAACTCACTGGAGATAGAGATGATTGCCCAACTGAACAACAAAGGGAAGGTATCTACACCAAGAGTTTTGTGGATCGAAATACACATGTGAAGACTAGGGCGCTTTTTGCAGCTTGGATATTTGTCGCATTAAGCAAGGAAACTTGCGATATCAGTATGCTAGACATTCATGATATGATGGATCGTAAGATCATTTCCAGTAGAGTTGAGCTACACTTTAACCTCGCGGCCACATTAGTCCTTCTCCATCCAATACTCTTCCCAGTAATTAGTCCTTATCCGTCCAATACTCTTCCCAGTACCGTTCCCATGCGCCCTCCAACTGTTTCAACCACGTCTTGAACGCCACTTCTTCCGTCCCAATCCTCATAATCCCATCCTTGATTCCTCTCCAGCCCTCCATGGGCGACTTGATATGCTTGTGGCTCTTTGGACAAATAACACGCCAGTCTGGCTCGATTTCGCCGCGCTCTTGTGATCTCCGCTTCGCGAAGCAAGACTCGCAGATGTCGAGATCGATGCAGTAAATGCAGAAGTAAACTGCCCGGTTAGACCAGCGATCTATACGGAATTTGCAAACGCTGCAACTGATATCTGTCCCTGAGAGGCCTTCGTCAATTTCATTGATGATTAGAGGGGGAGAATCTATTTCGATCGTAGAGGTTTTATGGGTACAGTTTGAAAGGTCTGGACTCTCAATGGTACATGTGGTCCCGTTGGTGGCATCTCCATTGGTATCACGAGTAGTTTGAGCATCGTCCTCAGTGTCGGTGCTATGTTGCAGTTTACTACTGTCAACCATGTCTTGTTCTTCGGTACTTGAAGCATGCGATTTATCTTCTTCCAAAATTTGGTCTTGTTCCGGTTCCTTGCGATGGACATCTTGATCAATAATATACAATTGTGCGGATAAAGAGATGCTGGCTTCTTTTTCGAAGCCAGATATATAACTCAGAACTTGAGCTAATCGACGTAATGCAGGTAGATCGTTTGCACCACTATCATCTTGTAGCTCCTCGATGCAATTCTTGAATGCAGCGTCTATGTATTCGAAATAATCGAGTGCAGGGCCAAGATGTCGCAGCATGTATCCAATCGTTGCCATCATGTGGGACTCTGAGGGTTTGTAATTGTCAGGCATCACTTCTGTCGGCTTATGGAGCACCTTAATTGCTTCATCTAGGGCGTTCTTCTTGGTCCGTGGGTCCTTCGAAAGTCTGAAATTCTCAAGTAGGATTTCAGTGAGCCGATGGCAGCCTGCCATAACTGCCCAGCTAGGCGTCTTGGGGTCGTCGACCAGTTCGCAAAGCATCGATTTGGATAATTCGAGGTCACCAAGCACGTGACGTGCGAATCCGGCGGCACTCAGCTGCAGATGGCTCTTTTTGACTGCTGGTCCAAGAGACAATGCCTCAAGTTCTTTTTGCGCAGTACTGTAGATTTTCAGCATTAACTGACCCTGATGTAAGCGTGCTGCTGCCTCTTGCAGTTCTTCGACATCGCCTGAGGCCATATACCAGCCAATCTCCCATTTCGTGGCAAGCTTCAGAAGCTCGATTATAATGGGTAATTGGTTGGTCTTCTTGAGCGCAGGGCATAGTTCAGTCAGTCCAAAGTACCCGGTGCGACCATCGACCTCACTGATATCTCTTATACTTCTCAGCACTAATTCCGACTTGCCCAAGAGTGCTGCGGCTTCCGCCGTGTTCCTGAAGTTGTCTGCTGATGCATAACGAAGTTCGTCATAGCTCTCGTTATCTTGCACCACGCTGCGGTAGAACTCGTTGGCTTCGTTGAATGTGTTCAATGACTGTTCCAGATATGTTCTTCCCATCTCTTCATACTCTTCATCTTGTCCAAGCATTAATAAGGCACGACCCTTGCTGGTCAGCAGTAAGGATCTTTGGAGCTGATCGACAGTCCCGTCGGCAAGCCCTTTGTCAAATTGTTTGATAGCCGGCCCGTACTTAAGCCTGTATATCATCGCCATACCGATTCCTCTATAGGATGACGAGGTCTTGACTATGTCCCAGAAACAGTCGGCCACGACTTCGAACGAGCGCTCCGTGATTTGCTTAAATTCCATGAAATCCACGAAGTATTCTGCTAGGCTGAGGTTTTGCTTTAACTCGGGAAGGTTTCTACCTTCCCATAAAGCAGAATGAGCGCTGATGAAAGAAGCGTCCGCATAGAACTGGCCATTTGCAGCAAACCAATTCGTAATATGGCCGCGCGAAAGACCAATGAATATACGTAATGGTTCCTGTTCGAGAGGCCGGAACCAGTCCAGAATTTCATAAGAGAGCTGGCTCGGAGACAAACGTCGGGCACGCTTGGCCCAAGCCGACAGCATGCCGAGTACATCAGACTGTGTGAAGTTGTTGCCACTCAAGATCGTACGCTCTATTCCTGCCACCTGCTCAAGTGGCTTAAGTGAGTCATTTTTATTCGTAAATATGCTGTGGATGCTTTCAAGTATAATTATGGCAAGCTCGTCACTTACGCTACCTTCATCGTCAGGCTGTATTTCGAGCAGATGATACAATCCCCATTCGGAAGCATACTGTACCAGCTTGAATGGCCTTGCTTTATTTTTCGGAAACGTGAGAATTGCAGAGCATATTTGGAATATAATAGCATGTGCTTCGGTAGCTGTGCATTGCAAGGCACTTGCATGGTCCCGAAATGCATGTCGAAAGTAGGCTTTCAGAGAGCGCTCTTGGAAGCTCAAGAAATCTTGGGCATCTTCCTCTATTCCCTCAGCGTCATTATCATCTTCACTCATTTCCTCGGAGCTATCATCATCTTCGCTTGATTCGTCTTGTTCATTCACTGATCGGTCCCCTGAAATGCGCAACAGCCTTGAGAGACGACCGTTGAGCTCTTCCTCAATACTGATAGCATGCTCTTTTGAAATGATTTCGGCAAGAAAATTGGCTTCTGCAATAGTGACTTTCGATTTTGTGTATGCTAGCCAAGCAAGCAAACTCCCCAGTAGCTCCCGGTCCTCTGGAGTCCGGTTCCTTTGGCATTCCTCGAGTAAGTTGTGGTATATGGCTTGGGTATTGTCTGCTAGCATTTCCAATTCCTTAGTAATGGGACCTTCACGTCCAAGCGTATTGAGTCTGCGCATAGTATGATCAATGTACAAAAACGCTAGGAAGCGGGTCAGTATCCGACACTCCAGGAGCATCAAGCTTGTGCGTTGATTGTGTTCGCAAACAATAAAATGGATTCTCAGGGACATATAGCTTATCGGAAATGGTACTTACAGTCTGCTTTCTGCGTCACCTTGCGAACGATGATCTTCCGTAGTGCGACTCTCAGTTTCCTGAGCCGTGTAAGACTCCTCGTCTTTGACCATGCAAATCGACGCATATCGAGCGAAATTTTGTGACGGGTCAGATCAACACATTTTGCACCCAGTGTGGAATAGTCTAGCTTCTTGTCTGTGCCGCACGTGAAGATGATTTGAACTCGATGGCGCTGACTTTTGATCATGCCCAAGATGTTCATGAGTGACGGAGCATCCTCTTCATTTGCTTGATCGATGCCATCTAGTATCAGTATGAGTCGCCGATCCGACTCTTTTTTGTATCTTGACTCAATTAGATGGTGCCATTCATTTTCAATTGTCTCAAGATACCGTACGGGTCCCATTTGCCGCACGGCTATTAGCATCTCCTTGCAATAACGCGCATCTCTTTGGGCGACTTGAATGGAACAGCATTTAAGCATATTTCTGACTGAGCGCATCTCGGGATACTCCTCGTCAAACGAGAACCAGGCAACGCATATGTCAGGATCGTGGGAGTACTTCTCTTCCAGATATCGAAGCATCCGAAATGAAAATGTGGTTTTTCCCATTCCTGGTGCCGCGTTGACCCATAGAAGGCTTTCCTCACCGTTGACAATGCTTTCTACAGCTGGCTCGGCTTCTATCCAGTCGAATAGTCGGTCGACAAAGGATAGTTTGACACCTTTCAGTCTCTCGGCGACGCCGCCCTCAGCACCATTTCTGAGATAGTCTGACCTGAGACGCTCAAAGTTGACTGGCTTACTCGCTCCAGATTTCATGTTTCGTTGCTTTTCTTCCATATCCTTTGTCTGTATTCTGTCCAGCTTCTTATCCAAGTTGCGGAGCAACTCATTGCCCACAGTCGTGTTTTTATGTGAGGTATGAATCATCTCTTCGGTTCGCATAGCTATCATGAGAGTTTGCGTGCTGGTCTCCAGGGTCTGTTTTGTCATGTTCGTATTCAGGCCGAATTCAGTCTGCAAAGCTTTGACATCTCGGTGTGTCGATTTCGCATCATCACTGATTTCTATAGTCGTACGCAAGGTTTGCATAATTATTGCAGACTCAAGTTCTTGGAGATCCGTGTTGAGTTTCCCGTATGCAGCCTTCAGGTCAGGGTCATTACCGTCGACTAGAGCTCTTGCCCATTTAGAGATTCTGCCTTTGGCACAATATGCGCGTGCTATGGCAGAAAGCTGCAAGAGTGACGAGAATACGTTAATGAGGAACGACTGGAAACTTTGGGGTTGTATCTTGTTTTCTAGCAATGACAAGCGTTGCAAGAATGATTGCATCATGCTGAAAAAGCCTTCAATCATATCATAGTCTTCCGATACGTATTTGGACGAGGTCATGACGAGCGTGAAGGCTGTCAGAATGGCTGAACTGGGAGGAAAGGCAAAACTCGCGGCGTCTCCTATGTGCTTTGCGACCCCTTCGATGATGTCGGCATTTCCAGATATCATGGTACGGAATCTGTCGAGCTTTCCTTTATTATGGCGAAATGCTTTGAAGGTCTCCAATTGGCGTTGTTGCTCCAGCTAGCAAATGAATCAGCGAGCGGCAACAAGGAGCTGATAACTCAGAGGTAGGATCTTCTCGGGCTTTGAATATAATAGCGGTATATCTCGCTTATTTGCCTTGAGTTTTGATTGCGGTGTATATACCGACCTTGATGGATGTAGTACTTCGCTGCGTTCTCAAATGAGCGCGCAAATCGACGTCCGTTGTTTTCCTATAGTTGTCTAACGCAGCCTCCCATAGTACTGCCACATCGCTTTGCGGCGGCACCAGCGCCATCTCAGAGATTCAATTAGCAATGCTTTCCCACCTAAACGCTTGCAGAGCAATACTATGGTATGGTGGCAATTATAAGGATTAAGGAGGTTGGCAAGGCAGTGTGTCAAGAGAAAAGGCACTCTTAATCAGAAGAAGTCGCATAAGAAGGACTGCGGTAAATGCCTACGTGGAGGCAGCCGTTGCTGTTCCGGTTAAGCTATGCAGCTTATGCATGTCGGCAGGATTCGTCAGCTGGAGTCTGGAGGGCGACGAGGCATTGTACTGGACGCCGCCACCGTGAGACAACATATTGCTGACCACCACCACAAGATGACTTGTAGTGCATGGATCGCGATTCGCGACGTAAGTGGTTAGTGCTGTCAAGGGGATATTGTAGTGTTGCACCACCAGCGAATCCGCCTGCCTGATCTTGAAGAAGTGGGAAATCACATTTACCAGAGAGGAGAACTCCAAAACCAACATCTTTTGGACGAGAAGGGTCAAGGTGCCGAGATCCGCGTGTGCTGGACTGCGAATTAGTTCACCTGACCGGGCCAGATGGGTGGACATTGTAGGCTAATAAATGAAGCTTGACACGAATTAGGAACCGCTGTGATATCTTCCTAACCTTGCGGGATCTAAGTTGAGTGCCAGTGATGAGCATTCAAGTAGTTCTGAGATGAGCGTTGAGCAGTCCTGAGTTCATTCAGTACTCTGCAAACCTCACCTACAAAAGCATCAAATACCTTGCGAAATTCGCTCGCAGACTAACAGAACCCCAGCAACAGGGTCTAAGCAGGTCAAGATCCTGCAGACCGATCTTTATAATCGCTCTTTTAAATGTTCTCTTTTATGTATCCCCATCCCTGTATTATTTCTTTCCCAACTCCAAAATAGCCTTGTTCTAGGGATTGGGGCAGAGGACTAAGCTGCTCTTTCTCTTGGGAGCTCAAAGAACTCTTTGCTCTGTCAAAAGTAACGTAAGCACTAGGCAAAAAGTAGAAGAACTTGGCTCACCTAATGAAAGGCATCATCAATCCTAGTTCGCGTGATGCTATACCGGTAGTTACGAAGAAAAAAAAATCTTGCAGTTTGTAGTGTTTAGTCTAATTTAGCAGCAATTTGCTTGCGATCGTTAACAGACCTAGTATGAAGCCACTAAAGTCAACTATTGGAATGTTTTTATGCATTTGATGAAGGTAATGAATCTACCATCGTCGGGGTAGAAAAAGCGAATGGTAAGGGTGTGGGTGTGACGAAAGCGCGGTGGCAAGCACGGACGATACCGCTAAGTACCGTAGGTACCGGTACGGTAGAATTGCCGCACTTGGCTTGGCCGGTCGATTACCGGTATTCAAAGCTTGTGTCAAGGTTATTGCCAAACCAACCATCATCACCAGGCTACATTCCCCTCATCTGCTGTCTGTAGAATGGCCATTTACTTCGTTCAGTCCAATCTCACTCGACACCTACGACCTTCAATCTTCGGTCTAAAGACGTCTCGATCACTCTCATCACAAAGTCTTCCCTTCGCCTCTCATATGTCTCAGACTACGGTTGAGGAGGCAGACCTAAAAGGTCTACAGGAGGAAAATTGGCGCTTGACCAAGGAAACAGGACAAGACGAGTTAGAGAAAACTTACTACTTCAAGACCTACACGAAAGTCGCCGTAAGGGATTTAGCTATGAATGTTAGCAGGTACTGAGCATATCAGGATTTTCATCACGTCATTGCGACAAGAAGCAAATCAGCAAATCACCACGCAACAATGATATCGGTATGAATCCAGTAGCAATGTTACTGTAATATTCTAATGTGGTGCAGAAATCTGGCTCCCTAACAGTACGTTGGACCACACATGACTGTGGTGGACTATCTGCCAAAGACATACTCATGGCACGATACTGTGACGAGCAAGCAGGATACATTGGCACAGTGAATGCCAACGATGCTCAATGCTGTAAGCCTAAGATAACTACTTCATGATCATCAACTTTAAAAGATTTGAAAGGCCAGCTAGTGCTGTGAATGTACATTGACAAAAATCGTGCCAAAATATCATTAAAACAAAGAGCTCGGTCCTGTGAGGCGAGTCACAAGAGATCTCAAAGCGAGCGATTTCATTGCTAGCATAGTCACTTTAAGAAACATAAGAAGGAAATCCGTGTCTACAAAGGCTGCAGTCACTCCGCATGTTAAGTTGCATAAGTCAAAGAGTCTGCGTTTCTTTAGTTTACGTTGTGCAGCACATTGTAAGCACATTAGGAATTCTAGGACCTGCTTGTACGGATAATATTAGGCAAATAGGATATGGTAACGCTTGGAAGAAGAAGTGCCTTGATTCACCTATGACGAAGAAGCACAGGGAGAGAACAAGCAATAGCCTCTATGCCTTTATGCTGTGTGTATTAGCAGGCTAAGTGCATTTGGAGCCTTCAATTACTTAACTTGCTGTCCTGATATTTGCATGGATAGATGCCATTCCACTGAAATACTCTATTAAGGATAGATTATACGTAACTTTTTAGTTGTTTTGGCGCAGTGGGAGTAGGGAGCCGTTGTACTTGACTTGCTGATCTTCCTGTCTTTGCTACCGGTATTGATCACATGGCGGCTTGGCTGTTTGCGTAGATGACAACGTTTCGCTGCCTGCCACCTTAATATAACTTCTCTTGTATCGTCGTCTTGCCTTCTCGGCACTGTTTTCTATGCGCGTAGCTGGGCCTCGTCTTCATGGCCAGGTCATGAAGGATGAGATCGGCTCCTAGTTGTTGAAGCGCTGGGCCCATCGGCGCTTCATTTCCTGGGAGATCCTCTGCCAGGATTTGGTATGTTTTCTCTGCACTTATTAATCATTTCTATGGATTGGGTTATGTTTGTCTTGAGGCCTGCTATGTCCGCGACGGGCTGGTTTGAGAGGAGCCGGGTGATGAAATCTGTATTTCGTTTCCATATCTGCTGCTCGATGGGCAGGAGGTGTGATTCAATATTGAATGCGGCGCTTGAAGTAACCCTGTAAGCCCTACATATGACTCTCGCTGCTCTGGCTTGATTGATCTGCAGTGTTGATTGTCTTTTGCGTCTATTTTCTTCCTCTCGTGCTGGTTTTATGCCAGGGTAAGCACGCATCAATCATTCGGAAGAGCGCGGTGCTTTCGCATCCTTTTCATGTCCAGTAACCCTACTTCTCAGGCTGAGACTCCAAGGCAGCCGAGTGCATTCGCTCTCTATAGTATAGAATCTTAACATCTATCCTTAGTCCTACATACTTACATATTACTTTGGGCTTCGCCCCCGCCCCCTTCCCCTTAATCCTTAACTGTGTTTGAATTACTCTGCTCATGTCGATTCGTGTGAATGTGAAGTGGGTGCTTGAGTTGTCAGTATCCTGTCGATGCCTTTGAATTCGGCGATACCGCTTTAACCACATGTGAACGCCATCATTATTTCCCACGTGATGAACCAGGATTGCGGCTGGAAACTACCACTCCTATATATGCAAGTAAACCACTTGATTGTAGCGAAGCTCATCGTATATGGTCATTGAGCCCCGCGTATGCTACTCCGCACCATCAAAAGCGGAGAAAGCATTATTCTGTTGGCTCTGTCTCAGCATTGAAGCTAATATATTCTCTGCACGAAGAATACTTTTCTGATGATGGTGCGGAATGTAAGGCTGCAATGTCTCACCTCTGCACATGGTTTGGTGCAGCCCAGCCCCACTTGCGTAGCTTCAGAGCCAATTGTGTACGTAACTGTGCACGACTGACGCAAATTGTATCTCGAAATACCGGTAAAGCTTCGAATCGGTAGCGTTGTCCTTTTATCATTCACTTGCGAGCAACACAACAGAACTTTCGATATGACATTGACGCCATCAATGAGCAGTCCGACAAGTTCGGAGACATTCGAGTCAGAAGACGACTACATTCGTAGGATGGAGGCACAGAGTGGTCAGTACTTCTTCTCAATAATCTCAAAACGTACCTGACCAGATGCAGAAATCACTTTCTTCAAAACATAGGACATGACATACGAGTTCACCGCCACAACCTTTACAAAAACTTCCCGGCTTCCATTCAAGATTCAGCGACTTGATGGCACTTCTTTCGTTCGGTCTAGATCCTGGTAAGTAACAATTGTATTTATTCCTGGGATCAGGAGAGTTGAGGACCGAGGGTCTAGCTTCTCACCGTTGACCAGAAGATCGTGCAATAGTAACATCAGATAGGAACCATGAGCGCATCACCAATGAGGCTAAAGCCTTGAAACTAGTCTTGCAGCAGACATCAGTACCTGTTCCGCGACTGCTAGACTATGGCACCTATCCAGATGGTCGGAGATATTTGACCACTGAGTTCATTGAAGGCTCACGTCTGGACACCTTTCCTGCCCGACATTGCTCAAAGCCAGAGGGACAGAAGCATACAATAGGTACGCCTTGCAAAGATTGTTCAGGGCAGGCTTATGCAAATGCTCTCGAGTTCATTTCTAGCACGGTTATGCCACAATTTGCAACTATGACATCTCAATACCGCGGTATCGATGGATTTGTTATGCCCCCGTCATGGCTAAGCCCCGACATCCAGCCTCTGTGGATAGGGAAGGGATGCTGGAAGACTCTGCTTCTAAGCTGCCTGAGTATGTCTTTCAACACGGCGATATTGCTGCCCAAAACATCATAATGGATTCGCAGACACTACAGGTCAAGGCCTTGATTGATCTTGAATATGCTGGATTTTATCCACCACAGATGGAAAATTGGCCTGGAACACTTTGTCCAGATACATACAATAGGCATGGCGAAAAAATAGGCCATCTAAGACGGCGGTTCCTTGCTACAGAGTATTTGAAATGTTACGACAAGTGGAGCAACAAAGCAGAGTTACACGAGTTGATTGATCGTGGGCAGCTTCCGCATCCAGATCAAATGAAACAGGATAGCACATGGGGTTGAATGAACAACGATGATACCGTAATACCTTTGACTGTATCTAGTTCGTGGACCAAATAGCGAGAGTGAACAGAAGGCTGCTGCAAAGACTGTCATCATCCCAAGCGAGATGAATAAAGACCATGGTCTAGTCGATAATCCTATAAACTAGATTGAAATTGGTTCTTCCACAATTCAAGCACTGCATAGCTATCGTGAGACAATCAAGTCACAGCCCGAGCACCTCTCCACAACAGGATCGTTGTTCGCCATCACGGTTTCACTTGACTAAGCACTCTCAACGGCGTTGGATAATGATAGGTGAAAAGACTTACTACACTTATCCTTCAATGACGCAAATCATATCGAGTGCAATATGGACGTCTCCACCACAACCCCAACCAGTCGACCTGATTCACTGCAGATTTTCCATTCCCTGTGAATCGCAATCAGGTAGCCAGCAAGGGCTTCGCATTGTCCAGACCATCACGCCTTTACCCCAGCTTTGCTCCTCAACCCGAACCTATGATCGCATCACGAAATACAAATTCTGTGCAGAATAAGAGTATGTTATTGATATCTGAGAATCTAGGTGACAAAAAACACCTGCACCTGCATTTCCAAGCCTACTGCCAAGTAACAGGTGCGCATCCAAACGCTGTACAACATACATTATGCATACCATACCCACCAAACCAACGTCATCCCACTTTATACATTGACTGCTCAAAAGTATAATAAAATTTACACTTAAAAAGAAGCAAGTCGCGCAATTTCATAATCATCTCTTATCGCTCAAACTCAAAGCTGTAGACAATAAAAAAAAGATGAAACCCAAAAAAACGCCAGGGAAATATGCAAAACAACCGTCTGTTACCCTCATCCAGAGAACCCAAATGCGTGCGTTACCGTATCCCTTGGCCTTTTTTGCTTCCATTTCATTTACAAAACATGATTACGAAAACTCGACACGACTTCCGCCCAGTCTGGCCTGCTTTGCCTGTGCCCTCTCCGCTCGCCGCCGCCTGCGGTTCGAGTCGTAGTTGCTGAGATCGGTCTCGGTGCCGTGTAATTGTGTACCCATGGGGCTGCTCAACACACTGGCTTGTGCACCAGGCATCGCAGGTGGAGGCGACAGTGCAATATTACCGGGAGTTGGACGGCCCGCTGGCGGTGGACCGGGTGGAGGCGGTACTTGGGAGGGGCCTGCAGCAGCTGTTCCCGGCATTGGAGGAGGCGGAGGAATCTGCCCCATCTCTGCAGCTTGTGCGGCTTCTCTAGCTTCCGTTCGGCGCCAGCGATCATTGTCAAAGTTGCCGATTGAACTCTCGCTGCCTGTGCGGTTCTTGCGCTGTCGTTCCTTCCTTCTGGCCTCTCGCTCGGCTGCAGCCTCCTCCTCATTGAGGCGCCGAAGAGTTACGTGTCGTCCATCATTATGCATCTTGACCTTGACGGATACAGGTGGTGATACGACACTCTCATCTCTGCTGTCTCGCCGTTGGCCATTGTCTTTCTTCGAAGGAGATCCGTTAGAGACTCCTGCCGCTCCACCAGCAAGAGCCGCAGCGCCTGCTTCGGTGCGACGCCGTTGCTTGCGATCGGGTGGGCTATACAAGTCTGAGCCTGAATCAGACAGCAGGCCATGATTGTCTCCTGGTCGAGTGGGAACAATAGTCGAAGATGGAGGAGGCATGGGTGGTGGAGGTATCTTGGGTCGTGCGACTGAAGGCGTCATACCAGTCATGTCGCTATCCGAGAGAATTGTTGACGGTGGTCTATTGCCTCTCCTCGGTCCATCGCCAGTATACTTACGACGCTGGCTGTTTTTGCGAGCAATCCGTTCTTCTTCTAGGTCATGCTGCCTAATTTCCTCGATGTGCTGCTCCTCCTTCTTCTTACCACGTCTGCTGAGGGAGTGCTTGAGGAAGCCAAGCACGCCAAGTGTCGCCACGCCCTCTTTTAGTCCGTACGACTGTGGCCGCGGTCCTGAATCGAAGTCGTCGCTATAGCTTGTTCGGCTGTCAAAGGAGTCCATAGACGTTCCACTGCGTGCTGGACGTCGTCCCTGTCGCAACGGACTTCCAGTCATGGCCGCCGCCTGAGCAGCTTCTCTTTCTTCAACGCGACGCCAGTCATCTCTTCGATTCGCTGGAGACTCTGGGGCTCTTCCTTCTTCAAGTCTGCTAAGATCCGTTTGTGTGACTTCGGATGGTCCCAAAGGACGACTGTAGCTCACATCGCTTCCAGTGTCCGTCGGTGGGTGCTTCTTCTTGCGGTTGAATAATGACTTGATAGCAAAAATGCCACCAGCAGCAGCACCGGCACCTAGTATGCGATCTTTCCATGTGCTTCCCTTCCTCTGATTACTTTGGTACTTCTCGTCACTGAGGTAGGAGTCGGTGAACTCTGACTCGTTAAGACGGGAATCATTGATACGGGAGCGGGATCCCCGACGAGAACTGAGCACTGTCGTTTGTTGTCCGTCATGTCTACCACGGCTGCGGCTTCGAGATCTACTTCTTAGCGCCGCTAGTCCCGCACCTGCGGCTCCTGCGGTTGCGAGGGCTCCCAGACCGGTTGCTCTGCTTCGCCTACTTCTTCGGCTCCGGATACTGGTGGCAGTGACATCAGTAATGTAGGTCGTACGATCGTCGAAGCCCATCTCAGGCTGATTCTGGTAAGAAAGCACAAAGGATAGGACCAAGAGAAAGAATGACCAGATGGCATATAGGATGAACAACACCAATGGAGAGCCGAACAAAGTGAGACCGAGAGGAACCTGTATAAAGCCTAGAAGTACAATCACTCGGCCTAGCCATTGGTGAATCTACGAAAGTTAGTCATGTTGGCAGTAAGCGTCCGATGAACGCACCATGAGCTTTAGAGGAATCTTAAATCGCTCTTTGCCCTTTTCCAGTTTATGAATAACAGAACCGCCGAGAGCCTGCAACATGACCAGGGCGTAGAGAGCGACGCCGATGCCATGATGCGGGTTGGACAAGGATCTCTCACGTCCGACAGCTTGAAACCCAAGGACAATGGCGGCAGTCGAGAGCAAGACGGCCAGAATCTGGAGCCAGATGTGAAATCGCAGGGCGGTCCGTGGATTTCGATGGTAGAATCGGGCCATCAGGATGGCTCCAGGGATGACGAAGAGGAAGGCAATAGCACCGAGGATACCGTGGGCGGTGATCATAGCCTTGTAGCCGACCATGTTGCGAAAGCGATTGCCCATGCCTATGGAGTCAGTCTACATTTGGACAGGATGGGAGTTGCATATAGGTACCATTATAGCGCATCGTCTCATAATTTAAGCCCTGTAAATTGGGCAACAGGAAGGTGTTGCGCTGCGAATCCCATGTTCCATCGCCGACATACATTGAGTCGGACGAGTAGACACTCGTGCCAGGAGCAGAAAGCCCCTGGTTGGACATGACGACGGTAGACGGTCAATCCAAAGGGGTAAATTCAATTGCAGAGGAGAGGCTGTATGAGGCGGTTGGGTGTGGAATAGTGGTCGAGTCCGACAGGTTGGGCTGGGCTGGGGCTGGTGGTGGAACCGGCAGCAACTTCGGAATTAAAGTGGCTGGGAAGAACAACAAAAAGAAGTCGTAACGTCGTGACAGGCGTCAGTGCAGCGACTGTACCGTGGTACCCGAGCTGTCAGGTCTCTGTCAATGTTGTTGTCGATGCTAATTATTTTTTGGGGGGTTGCTGAGCATGCCCGACTCAGCGGACAGCTCGATGGTAGAGGGCGTCAGTCGTGGCGAGGCTCTGTTCGACACCTTTCTGGTCGGTGGAACGGTTGGGGTTTGGGTGAGGAAGAGACAGTCCGGTGTAGGGTACGGTACCTGAGTTACCACTGGAACAAAGGGCAGGCAGATGGTCAAGGGAAAGATCCTTTCAACAACACACCAGCTCAGCTAGTCTGAGAGAGAGAGAGTTAGACCAGCCATGCCGCCGTCGCTGTTGTTTATCCACCGTTTGGCTAGGCAACGTGAGGGTTTAATCGATAAGCGGTGAGGCCGCCCGGCTGTGCCCAATCAGAGGCCGTCCAACCCCGGCTCCCAGCTGACACATCCAACCTCCCCGGTCGACGGGCGCTTGTTCTTCCTGATCCCGGCCCCGGAGAAAATGTGTGCCATGTGTTGTGTTGGCAGTGAGGCGACGGCACTCCCGGGCGGGCTGAGATCCACTCGACAGACCACTGACCGCTATTATTACGACAGCCCTTGGAGTACTACCTACTTAGCTCGGAGAATGTGAGCTTCGCCCGCCCTTGAGTCGCTTCTTCACATTGGCGGGGATATCCAGTTTTCATCGTTCACGGGACAATTCAACAGAGGATAACAACTAGTCGTGGCCTGGTTACGATCCAAGAGACATCAGCTACTATCGGGCATAACTGTCCGCTACCAAAACATACCTCCATTCATGACAGATTGAAACAAGCAGTGGTATCTCAAATGACCCAGATCCTATCCCAAACGCCTTGCTACTTGTGTGTGAGGAGCCTGCATCCATGTACCTACAACCAGATAACTAGCTCTCCACATCCAACATCTCCTGCAAGGCCTTCTCGGACGCCCTCAGCCATCGGCCTCGCTCTTCCAGCTCGTCGCCAATGCCTCCACCCTCTTCTTTCCTTCTCCTCGCTTCTTTCGCTGCCGCTACCGTGCCCTGCTTCTGTGTCTCCAATGGCTTCAGCTCGCGCTCCAACTTCTCCAATTCTCTGGCCCTGTTCGGCATCGATGCTTGTAGAACCGCTATCTGAGCGTTCAGGGCGGTAAGTTCCGCTTCTCGTTCCTTGAGGACCTTGAGAGTGTCGGGAAGGGGCAGTGCAAGTTCTGGGTTGTTGGACACTGGCGTTTGCTCTTGCTTAAGCCGTTGTATGCTCGCTTCCAAGCCTTCAATCTCACTTGGCAGGGACTCCAACTGCTGTGTGCGCAATTGCAGGCCTTCATATCGCAGTGACAGCTCTTTCCCTTTTGCCTCCAATTGCGACAAAATATCAGCAACCTCTAGTTTACGTTCCTTGAGACTGGCTTTGAGGGCCAAAATCTCCTTCTCCTTCGCATCGTTCTCGGCGGCTTCGACAAGGCGTGGCGGATTTTCGGTAATACTTCTGAGGAACTTCTCCTTGGTCACCTGTTCGACGTAACTGAAGCGTAGCTTGCTGAACAGTTCCTGGCCGTGCATCAGTACTACACACGACTGACTTGTCACCACATATGCACTCACTTTGTAATGGGATAAGTCGGCCTCCAACGCCGCAGGATGTGTGTCGCCGTTCTGTTCACTGTCCTCTGAGACTGCAGAACTGCGCTTCTTCGCAGACTGCGGGAGGTCCTTTGGTGAAAGAGTTTCGGCGATGGACAGAAGTTTTAGTGATTGCGACTTCTGCAACTGTTCGAGGGCTGATGCGGGTGTAGGCTGCACTGACTTCCGTTTGGAAACCATGTTATCTTTCTGTTTTGGTATTGATGTCTCCAAGGTATGCGTGGCTGCAGTGTTTGTTTTGCTTGAACGCGATGGGTACTTAGGTACCAGTCGGAGGGCTGGGTTCCCCGCGGCGGTTTCCTTATTCACATTAGCGCCTATCGCGGTCATCCCAGACGCTGAGAACAACTGTGAGTCAGTTGACAACTCTAATTGCACCACCCCACTGACGTCTTCGGCATGAAATCATCGCACAATGGCAGGCACACTAGACGATGAGTATGTCGCCAACCTGCTGAAGCAAGACGCGAAAAAGGCGGCTAAGACATACGAATTTGTCGGTGTAAATGCTTTCAATCCCAAAAGGTACGTATGAGGCAATCGCAATATGAGCGCCGCTTCAGCGACAAAATCATTCCATATTCATATTGGGCAGATCAAATTCCGGGGCACCCAAGCCAAATACGAACTTTTTGCGACACATAATACGCCAAACCGACAACCACAATGCTGCACTTCTCGCAAAGGAGGCAGAGGAAGCAAATGCGCGTCTGAAAGCGATGAATCGCGAAAAAGAAAGAGCAAGGCGTAACGAGGTGACTAAGTTGCAGAAAAAGTCCGAAGGGCGATTGACGCCAGTTTCGAGCATCCTGAGCGACGAAGAATTCAGGTCTGAGTCCGCAAGGAGACAAAGTGGTCGGAGAGACCGTGATAAGGAGCGCTCCACTAAGCGAGGAAGGAGAGACCGAGATAGCTCAGAGGAAGCTTCGCATAGAACACACAGAGATAGTACAAGGGATGCGCGACACAAGCGACACAGGGATAGTAGTGGCGAAGCCCGCCAGCGCAAGAGAAGGCATGACGATAGCGATGAGGGCCGGTCAACTGGAAAACGAAGAAGATCCAGGTCTTCTCACCGCGAGTCTTCCCATCACAAACACAGAGAGGGTCATCACATATCACGGAGGAGAGGGCCCTCTGACAGACACAGACGTCCCAGGTCGTACTCCAGATCCACCTCACGCGCACGATCCCGGTCACCCCGATCAGACAAGAACCAAAGGCAGCACAGAAGGAGGAATCGATCGCACTCTGGCGACCGGGCATCAAAAGATTACAGGTCATCGCGCGTTTCAAATACACCCAACCCTGATCATCAAAAGTCCACAAGACAATCTGCCTCCCCAGCATACGACTCGGATCCCCTCGAAGCCATCGTCGGCCCTCTCCCACCCTCCCATCCACCTGCTGTCCGATCACGTGGCCGCGGCGCCCACAAAGCCAATTCCATGGGCATCGAATCCCGCTTCTCCTCAACCTACAATCCAGCCATTGACGTCAAACCCGATTCAGACGCAGACGACGACTGGGGCGATGCGCTTGAAGTTCACAAGGACCGCCAGCGCTGGCAGCAGCAAGGTGCAGATCGTCTGCGCGCTGCGGGATTCTCGGAAGAACAGGTTCGGAAGTGGAAGAGGGGCGAGGAGCAGGAGGAGGAGGATGTGGTGTGGACGAGGAAAGGGCAGGCGAGGGAGTGGGACAGGGGGAAGGTTGTGGGTGAGGATGGGGATGTTGAATTGAAGGCGGATTTTGGGAGGTTGAAGTAAAGGGGTGTGCGGTTTGGGAGTTTGGTGACACTGTTCAGATTTGGTTAATTCCTAGGCGGATGAGGTAGGGGGTTGCTGAAGTTAATCTGGCTGGCGTCAAGGCCTCATTCCGGTCTAAGCTGGTGAAAATGAAGATTTGTCGGCTTGCAAAGATTATTGCACTATCATCCTTTAATTGTTGCTTACCCATCCCATCACTTATCTCTCACACGGGTAACACCTCATCTGCATACCTCCCAAACTCTCCATCTCTAATCGCTTCCAATTACTGCAACCTAGCAGCCCCTTCTGCTACACGAGCACACCGACACTGATGGCCTTTGTATCCCCAATTCCCACGCGCCGTTTCTCCACAGTGAGTGACGCGAAGATAGGGCGTAGTGTGTGCGCTGTAGAGTGTAGCTTGTGCGTGTGCATGTGCATGTGCATGTACATGTTACACGCAGATGATGCTATCCTGAAGATGATGCTCTTCTCCTCATTCTCCCTCTCCACACAAATCACCCACTCTTTCACCCCTCACACCCACTTAGCAAACCTTTCTCAACACACCAATGCCACATTACCCCTATCTTTCTACATGGTGGATGGTTTGATCCTCGCATCATGTTCATATCCCCACTTCCCCCGCAACGCTATTCAAACACTAAACACTACGGGAAACTAGATAGTAGAGGCATATGTACAGGGGAAGGAGGACTCGTATGTATGTTTGAGCCGTGTGGGGGGGGAGGGTGTATGTTGTATGCTTGTCAGGGATTCATGTTATCTCTTGGATTGGATGATGAGTATTACTGGGTTTTACGCAATACAATTTATTCCTGTTAATTTGATATGTTAGCTCGGAGATTGGGGTTGGTTGTGTAGAGTGATGCGGTGTTATAAATTGACGGGTATTTACTACTGCGGCTTTAGGCTTATTGCTGCATTACACCAAACTCCCCGACGTCCGTCCTTCTTGCCGTTTTCTAATCCCCGAAGTTCTTGAGAGGACGGTTTAGACGCTGTATCCTTCTCTTCTCATAGAAAAGGGGCGTGCGTTGTATCCAGACCGGAGCAAGTCCTCTCTTTTGCTCCTGTTGAAATGCGGTGGAAATAATTACGCCACCTAAATGTTATCTCAACGAGATATTCGAAAATTGATAACTTAGTTACAGTGCCGCCTTGCATAAGGAATTGTTAATAATACAACGTTAACGTGTACTACACTCATGCCAAAATGCTTAGACACTATAGACTTTTCCGTCTCAATAATGATGGACCCACGTTGCGAGACGGGAGTCTGTGGTTGATCTTGAGAGATATGCACCTTGTGTATTGGTAATTGGACAGGCCGTGGTATCCGGATAAAGCGGGTTCAAAAAAGGGAGTCTGGTATAGTCCTACTGGGAGAGTGGAAGGGGTGTGGTTACATACGCTTATGAACATTCAATAGGATGTCTAGGAAGTAAACGTTGCTGTCGGAGCAGGGGCTCTATTGTGGATAGGGAGATTTAGGGAGATTTCGTATCTGGTGAATGTTGGTGTGAGTACGTTGAATGCGGGAGGTTAGAAACTTGGCGGTGGTAGTATGACGATGTTATTCCTGTAGGTAGTTTGGCCGTATACTGTAGCGATGGAGATGCGAGCGGTCCATGGCTCTCCTTTTCTTTTTAGAATGCTCGGGAGTCTGTTCGAGGTGCTGTTGAGGTGTAGAGCATGCCTTTTCTTTTCGGAAGGAGAAGGGCCATGAACAGCCATTGGTCCTGGGATCCAGCGGGTTGTTTTCTCCAGCTCGATGGGAAGTGATGGAGGGAAGGGGTCATGATGGGACTGCCTCGTACTTATAGCAAGGTGCCCTCGTGTGTGCTGTCTTAGTTTGAAACAGGCCAGAACCATACTTACAGTGGATCAGGGGGTGGATGCCAGTGAAGGAAAGTAGACCCGTGAAGACCAACTCGAATATTCGTCTGCAGGGAGAGGTGAACATTGACAATATGGGATAAATGACCTTAATTTTTTTGGATGGAGGAGTGTTTTATTTTTGAAAAGATGAATAACAATCACTAGCGCTATGTGGTAGATCTTCCCGCTGAGCAAGAAGCAAAATTGATGATACCCATGGAATGTTAAAAGTGAAGCATCTCATACTCTGGCGAATCCGAGACCAGAGCCAAGGTCTGGCGACCGTCATGATGTCGTGATGCATGTTGTTGATTGCAAAGCAAGGCAGCAACTAGTACCCAAGTGTGTACGATCACCAACCATTGCCGAATCTCCAAGAATTGCGCACTATTTCATACAGCCAGCCATTGTGAGATGGTCTCTGGTACTCTGGAATGAATACAGTGGACAAATTAGCCACGCAGAACCACGCACGGTGCAAGGCTGCATCCCCATCTTCAGCAGTGAGCTCTAGAGACGTCGTGGAGACTCCGCGGAACAGGAGACCAACCCTTGCACCAAGGCGTATTCTTTTGGGCGCAAATCCGGAGAAGTGGGACGGCAGAGCCTCCAAATCGTAAATGCACATCATCGTATCCCCTTGCTAACGCGGCTTCGCTCCTTCGAGCCTTGGCTTGGCGGACAGTTTTTTAGCAGCGTTACACAGCAGACTGGACCTGCAGCGCTGTCCTGCCCGCCGTGGGTACTTGTAATCTCGATGCGACACGCCTCCAGAAGCGTCGAGGAGATATAAACTCTCACTAACGCTCGACTCAAGACTCAAGTGTCATGTCGAAAGCCGCCCGCGACGCCGCAGGGCCGATGGAGGCAATCTAATGCGGCAAAGCGGCAGCACTTCGGGTTTGCTCTCACAAGCCGCTGGGTGAAGCCGCAAAAGGGCCTTTAGACGTGGGCATTTAAAGAGCGCGAGCGTCGCACTCTGTTTGAAGCGGATTTCGGCCTCGCAGGCACCCAGAGGCACGCCAGAGAAACGAGAACACAGTCGACGCCGCGCGACGGAGAGCGGCGGTACGTTACGTGATGCAACCTCCTCGCTTCGCCCTCGCAGGGTGCTATCCATCATCCGACCTCTCAGACGCACTGGCAACTGCGCCTCGTTGGAGCTACCTTGGAGGATACGACTCGCACCCTTCGCTGGCTGGCTGGCTGGCCATCCGTCTCTAGTTTGTCTGCCAGAGCAGCATTGATGGAAGGGGGGTGGGGGAGAAGGGGGGGTATGGTGTTGTCTGCCGCATGGAGCTGCCGCCCGTCGACCATGCCGCACAGCAGCTGGCAGCGCAGCCAGACGAGGGATCGCCAGTCTGTCGGTGACATTGCTCCATTTGATCGGGCACTATGAACTGTCTCGTTGTTTTTGGTGGTGGTGGTGGTGCTGCCCGCCCACTGTCCCCCCGCCGTGCGGAGCAGGTAGAGAGGCCGTCAGTCCAAAAACTACGCA